CACAGTTTGAGCGGGGTAACACACTGAGGCTCCGGCAGTCATCAGACCCAGAGGGACGGCTACCCTCTTGAGTTGAGAGCCTGAAATACAGTTAACAATTACAATCAATGTCACTGAACACATGGAAAAACTAAACGTAATTTAAAGTACGGCCTTATAAGGGCCCTATTAGGCTTTCTGGGTTTTCCCTTTCCTGTAGTGCGTTATATAGTAGTGCTGTAGCGACGCGTCGACGACTTCAAAATATCGTCGACGACATATTTCCGCGTCGACACCATAGACTGTATATATGGTCGCCACACACACGTGGGTCACCCAAAGCAACAAGCAGTTCGCAATCGCACTTCTAACACAATGGAGACTGAAACCTCACAGGATTGCGCACGAAGCCCTCAAACGAAAACATCTCGCCCTAGGTCTTCAAAAGCATGGGAATATTTTAAAGTTAGTCCAAAACGCAAAGATATTTATATATGTATATCTCACTGAGACTGCTGCTTGACCGGAAGCAGCAGCTAGCTGTGGTGGCAACCATTAGCATCTAGCATTTGCTCTCCAATTTTTACATAAAAATGGAATTATGGATTATAAATTCAATAATTTTTTTATACATAGACGTTAAAAACCTATGGATTAACCGATTCAGCCGCGTTTTTTCTCATTGTAATGCCATTGAACACGTATTTTGATCAGATTGACAGCTACGGCGATGAGACGATCTCCTTAGAAGCTCTGTGAAGGTACGTGTTGTGATGACTGTATTTGCTTCCCCTGTCGCGAGTCCGGATCACTCAGTGATGATACTATGTACCTACATAATCTGTGGAGTCTCAGCTTTAATCGGATATCTTGTATGTGCAGCTACGATAAGTAATAAGGGTTATCTTGAGTTCTGTGCCAATGTCCGTTAGCATTTTTCGCTCAGGGGTAATTTAGATAGCATTTTAGTTTGCTTCTTATGAGACTTGTGTTTTGTTTTGTGTTGGTAAACATGGTTTGTATCGTCAGTTAGCTGAGATTATTTCCGTTAATCTGGTATAACACATTAATAGGTTCTTAAATATTAAGATCCCCTGAGACACAGTATCGTGAAAAAAAAATGTTTTACATTACTTTTTTTTACATTACGTTTTTTATGAATTGAACAACAGAAAAATAATCGTTCGATTAGTCGACTAATCGATCAAATAATCGCCCGATTAATCGTTTTCAAAATAATCGTTTCCCCCCAGCACTATTATATAGGTTTTTGTAAATGGTCTGCAGAGGCCATAATCCAGAGGAAGTTTCTCTCCCACACACTGCCTGAATCACCTCCATTGGACTCACTAGTGACATCACTATACCACTTGCTCTTCTATTTGCTAGCACTCCAACAAATAGTACGCGATAGGCTAAGGGAGGGGAAATATCTAAGCAGTTGACCAACCATAACAGAACCAGCCAGCTAACCAATCAGAGCAGACTGGGCTCTGGTTTCAGACAGAGGGTAAAAATAGGTGCTGCAGCACAGGCAGTATGAGAAAAATAAAGAGCTTTTTGAACATTAAAGTGTGTAAACATTGTGGTGTGTGAATGCTGATAATCGTTGACAACTGCCCAGTCAACCAAAGGTCAATGTGCATCCAGTGAAGACTGTGTCATGCTGCTGTATGAAAGAGCTGTTGTGTTTTCTCCAATTGATTGAGATTACATCTGAGACTTGTAAGCAAAATAAAGAAGGTATGAATTATTTATAAAATCTTAGGTTCACCCGTCCGTATTCAGGGCGGCATGGTGGCTCATTTTGATGATTTGTTATGTACATCTGTTACGTTACCACACAGCTGCATGGGGAACATTTCATTCTAAGAGGCATTAAGCTTGCATACAGCTACTATAATGCAAGGCAGAGATTTGTTTTTATTCATGTAAAATAATCTGTTTCAAATACAACAGTTATATCAATGCTACATAATAACAGAAAAAAATATTCCAGATTAATATATTGTTTCCCAGTTAATCAGTGTACAAATATAAAAATAAATATATCACATGTTTGCCTATAAAAGGAAATGAATGTGGTAACTGTGGTTGGTTTATTATATGTCATATTTCAGTGCGCACTAATACGCAGACAGATTTATTGATTTCATAACAATGGTTCCCAGAAGGCTCTAAGTATCCCTGAGTCACTCTGGGTTGGGTTACCTTTCCGTGCCAAGAACATGCCAAGCACGCCGGCCATGGTGATGGTGCCAAATCTGGGAAGAAGTTCAGGGGGAGGGTCTTTCAAATAATAGTACGCATCTGGGAGACACAGGAGACAGTAAGCATGGGGATAAAAATTCCCTACATTTCACAATTCTGAACGCCTGTCTGATTTCCTGCTCATACTGTCATTATATACTTCAGAACATTGGGTTTTGTGACGGTTGCTACATTTAGGAATGATATATATAAAATATATACATATTATATATAAAAAATGTAATAAAAAGATATGTATATGAAGATAAGAAGTTCAAGTCAAAATGTGCAACAGAAAAATAAAATAAACCAGAATAGACATTTAAGAAATTAAAGTCAAAAAGTTAAAAAAAAACCTGTAATAATAATAATAATACTATTTAATATAATATAACATATTATAATAAGATAAGATAATGTAATATCATATAATATAATACAAGCAGTGGTAATAGTGTGATTTGCAACATAAATAATAATAACATTAACAGTAATATTTATATCTAGTATCTTTTCTTGGGTTAGCGACATAACAGTACGAATGCCACAAAAAATCCTGCACCGTCACATCACAGTAAGCTGCGTGTGATTATAAATAGTAACATTATGTACTGTAACATCAATTAATAAAGATTTGATTTAATGAGGCCATAAATAGTTAGTTAAAAATGTGGGATTTGTTTTCTAAGGGCGTCAGAACAATACATGAGTTAAGGGCACTAAAAGTGATGTTTCAAGTTTCAGGAAGGGAGAATATTATTTAATATATATCATATATGACACCTTAAGGTTCCTCCTGTTGACTCACCCTCTCCTTTATAGTATAGATTTACACTTCTTGTTTTCACAGAGATGCAGGCACCCTGCAGGGAACAAAGGAAAAATAAACCGCTACAACAGGATATGAAGAACAAATGGTTTTTCCCCATCTTCCACAGAATCAAACTGCCAGATCTCTTTGCAGCAGAACTTGCAGCTGCTGAATTAACTGCACACACACTACAGTACAGAGGCATACGTGCGCTGAGCCCTCGCAGCATGTGAGAGTGAGCTGTGTAACCACAAGAGGAGCGAAAATCAGGACACTAACACTGCAGATGCAAAATAAGGCCTTTTGCAAAGTATTCTAGTTTTTCCCTTTATAAAACACTTATTTACATACGTCAAAGGGTTGTTCTTTTGTGGGGTGTTGAGTGTTAGACAGGATGTGAAAGTATGTGTTCATTCAGCAGCAGGTGTTGTGTGGGAAAATGAATATGTTCTCAAAACGGCTGTAGGTGTACACAAGAAAATGGAAATACCTTCACAGCCTGGACAAAGGGTCGTATGCCCTGTCTGGCTGTAGTTAACCCATTCTGTATAACACCGGGAGTCTCTGGGACAAACAGGGCCTGAGCAGACATTGGCAGCGGGGTGTAGATGTTCAGCTAGGGACAGAGGGAGAGTCAGTATTTAGATGTGAATTTCAACAGTTTAGCTCTCATATCAAATCATATGATTCTTTTTAGAAAAGCATACCTTTTCTCGAGTAAGCAGTCCATCAGTGGGCGCTTCGCTTACAGTGTACACACGGATGGAGGCTATGCCCATCACCGTCGGGACGGCCAGCATCACCACCTAGGAAACAATGAAAGTTTACAGCTTACCTTAAAATATTTCACCACACAGTAACACAAACAACAGGCAGACACAAATCACTCATTGACAGATGGACCAGTGGGAGAAATGATCAACATGTAAAAATAGCTAAACCACAAACTTGCTATTTTAGGACTATAACTTTTGAAGCGTCAGTGTTAGGTTAACTTAAAGTACTTAGATTTGGTACCTAAGTGAAAGTAGAAGGACCAGAGTTGAGGAATGCTCTTTATTAGTAAAAGTCCTGAAATCAAAATGATAATCATGTAAAAGTAAGAAAGTACTGGCATCAAAATATACTTCAAGTACCAAAAGTAAAAGACTCATTATGCAAACTGTCCCATTTTAGTTTAATATGAACGATATGTTTATTTATAATTATTGATGCATTCATGTGTTTATCACAGCTGGAAAGGACAGTTTATTTTCAGGTTAAGTGTTGTTTATTTCACATCATTCATCTGTAAAGTAACAGTGGATTAAAAGTACACGAAGTACAGAGTAGCAACAAATTGAAATACTCATACTCAAGTCTCTCAAACTTGTACTTAAGTACAGTCCTTGAGTAAATGTACTTTACAACACTGCTAACTTACAACTGCCTCCTACTAGCTGACGTAATTATAATGTTTCCTTTGCTTGGTCAACACCGTCTATATTGCAGACAACGTCACGGCTGACACATATTAGATGTAACACATGCATAGGTAATATAAATAGTGTGAGTACTGCTCACACTGCTGTCTGCTAACGTTAGTAAACGCTGTCTAGTTAGCATTGACTCATTCAGCGAGGCTAGCACAGTTAGCAACAATGTGTCCATGCAGCGCAGTGTTAAAGGTTTTAAAGTGACACTCTGTTCAAGGTTGCGTTAACGACTCCGGGTCAGTTAACGTTAACCCCACACATGCTCATTCTTTACAAAATATACTTTAAAATGTCAAGCATTCACCTTGGCCGCCATGACAGCCTTCCTCCTTCTTCTGCAGGCTGAGAGAGACGCAGATCCAAAGCCCGGGTACTACTGACTCCTGCCGGGCATCAGCGGCACCTGCAGCACGTGTTCTCAAACCAACAACAGTATGGGTATCAATGTTGTTTTGTAAATCTTTGTGTAATTAAAACACAAAATATCTCATTTCGTTTTTATTAACATTTTTAAAAGACATTTTAAAGGATTAAACTGTCACTGCAGTTCCACATGTAAAGCAATTGTACATGATGTGCAGTGGTTTATTATGGGCAAGGCAAAACAGGTTCACAGGGCCCCCAGACACAACGGACTCTAATAAGCCCCTGGTTCACAGAAATCTTGACGGTTTTCATTAACTTGTTAATTTGTTAGGGAGTTGAACCAACTTAAGTATGTTTTAACTTTTATTTGTGCATTGTTTTTCAAAACGGCCAGGCAGAGACAAAGTAAATAGAAATAAAATACATGTGCAGGTGAAGTAGAAACACACTATGGCCTCACACAAGAGGGGAAAATATGGGGGGAAAGAAAGAAAATGTGCAAAATGTATCAATTAACATGCAAACCCTTTACATGCCTAATCACGTTGCAAATCATAATTAGCTGCTAAAGAAAAAATAGTACAATCTTAACAATTTTTTTAACAAAAACAACAAATTGTTATGAAAATATTTCTAGATTTTGGATATAGATATGGACATGGATAATCATTTGTAGGCCTACTTGTCGTATTTTTACGTACACTTTAATTGAAAATCTGCTTCTTGGTTACGTAAGCACATAAAACACTGTAATGCTGTCTCTATCAATCCAAGAAAAGGTACACATAAACAGATCATAGCTCGTAGTGCAGAGGATTCAGTTTATTGAAGTCAAAGTTTAACAACTTAAGTTTACAATCTGTATTTTTTGTAATATATATTCATATATATGAAACCAAAAAAGGCTACTTTAGGAAGAATAAATGTCATTTTCTTTCTTTTTTAATATCATCGTTAGTCAGTTTAATGTACAGAATAACAGTAAGCTAATATTATCCTTGAAAAAGAGCAATATGTTCCTTTTTTAATGTCGCAGTGCAACTTACATCTTACACACCTGTGCAATGTACCATGAGGTGTACACCCCTGAAAGAACACAGTGGAATCTCCCTTTTCGGCCTGTTTCTGCATGTCTACACACACAAAGATCTGGGGAGGAATAACAACACAGTCTGTGCCCACAAATCATAACCTGCACTTCCTAATCTACAGTGTGTGCCGCCTGCTAAGTGGAGCAGCGGTTGATGAAAAAAACCCACTACAGATGAGAAGTGGAGAGAAATCTGCAGACTGAAACTGTTTTGAAACTCTTCTCCAGCTGTGTGTGTGTAGGGTCGCCAGTATAATCAGTCCATCGTTGCCAAAGAGAGGGTTGGGAGGCACAGGGAAAGTGCTTGCATCATTTAGTTTTCTTTGTGGTACTCTCAAATTAACCATTAAAAAAACATGAGCTATATCTCTGGGGTGAGTTTGATAGTTCACGACAGTGTGACATGATGAAAAACCTGAACCTACGCTAAAGAACTACAGTAAAGTATGAAGAATAAGTACAGATAGTGCTGGATGCAGCAGGTGTTATGCATGTCTCTCAGAGTCTTCAACACTGGGGGGCACCGTTGAGTCCTTGGCCTGATATTGCAGATGAAATGGTTCATCTGGGTTTTACAGACATTACAGACCATTTAGTGTGGAGGGCTTTGACCGCTCAGGTTCATATGCTTCGAGGGAATGTCAAAATAGCTTTCGTTTCAACTCAGGTAAGATTCCTGCAGTCTATTGGTTAGTGTCAGTCTTTCTATGTAAAACAAAACCTTAAATCAGGAGCCTCCTGGTTAGGATGCTAAAGGAGGATCTGCATTAGATCAAGTAACCAAGGAGCAGAAAAATGCTTGCCTCAGCTGTTGTACAGTTTGTGTCTTCAAACACTATCGAATGAAAAAACAAGAATACATACAAAGAAAAGGTCATTCTTCAACAGTACTTTTGCATGTATCATGCGCTACAAGTCTAATTATCTTGCAATCATGAGAGGAAGAGAAAAAGGGGAGAAAAAAAACAAATGATCCACAATTTTTTACCCTGTCCAATCAAATCAGTCCCGGGACTTTTCTCATGCAACACATCACCAGGAGAAGGGTCAGCCGCGATGTAAAAACTGTCAATGATGGTGGTGTTGTTGTTCTGCCACCCTGCATCTACAGAGTGAAGAGGGGAACACTGCAAAACCTTGGCATAGAATACATCATACTTTACATTATATCTATGACACAAAACGTAAATAGATTTATATATTCTTCTATGTTTAAATATATTTGTAGACTGTACACAAATCTTTAGAAAATGAGACGGCAAATGCTTTTACCTGATATTTTGAACAGCAATGGTAAAGAGGCCGATGAGACATAGACCCTGTGATGCAGCCAATGAGATATAGAGATATAGAAAGTGCATTCTTTGTAGTGAGTGACTCCTTTGAAAATAACTCTCTAGCTCTTGCATTTGCTGTTTAAAATAAAATAAAGGAAAATTGTTTTGCACCCACGCAAATACATACTCTCTGTCTTCCCTCCGCTACCTCTAGAAGCATATCACAGTGGTAGTGGAACGCAAACATTTACATCAGTATACAAAGCAGTATACACATATACACAAGTCTTTGACGACTAGAGAGAGAGAGGAAATAAAGAAAAACATGAAGAGGAGGTGACGGACAGAAACACAGAGAGGAACATAAAAAAAGACGGGTAGAGAGGATGCAAACTGAAAAGTTCAATTGCACTCAGTCAGAGGAGCCTCCTTCTGCAGATAAAATTGTGTCTTTTTTTCTTAACAGTTCACAGTTTGAAATAGTGTGCAACTAGCCAGTACAATAGGTCCTCAACGTTTGTTTTCACCGGTTCCCAGAGGGAGCCAGATAAACCAGCATTGACGGCTACTTTTCACAGTCTCATACTAAAAGTCAACGCCCTTACTTTCCCCTGCACTGTCCCATCAGATCAGCCTGGAATAACAAGTGAGGTCCCTGTAAATCAGCGAGATATGCAGTGAGAGAAAAAAAAGATTGAGAGAGAAAGGGGGAGAACTGGTGGCTCTGGGTGCAAAGTTCATCAGTACAAAAGTACAGTGCTGTGGTGAAAAGGATTCTCCTCTGTATTGCTGCTACATAGCTCCCCCTGCCCCCTAAAATCAATAGGAAATAAAAAGCGAAACCAAGAGAATACAAAGTAACAAACGTGTTAAAAAGTTTCCTTTTTTTCCCATTTTGCTTGACAAGCGTGTGGTGTTTATGCTGAGTTCCATAGACAAAGGAAGATTAATGCTTTCTGTTCAGGCATGCAATAGGCACCCTGTGAGGGTCCTCAGGATTATCAAAAGTTCATACACGCAGGTCTCAGACTGTTCCCTCTATGATATTTACACATCTTACAATGTGTGTACCTGTGTGTGTGTGTTCGAGTGAGTGCGTGCGTGCTCAGAGTCTTGATCTGGAGAGAGGACTCAATGTAAAGCTCTGTGTGTGCTTGTGTGAGTGTGTGTGTGTGTGTGTGTGTGTGTATGTGTATGTGTGTGTGTGTATCAGTTCAGTCTTTGCTCCCCTTCTCTCTTTCACACATGTGTCTCAATAAAGGAGTGTGTGTGGGTCATAAGAGGTGGGGCCAGTGGGGAGAGGTCGTCCTGGCCGTTGGTGCCGCCGGGGCTGAGCTGGCAGATGTCTGAGTAGAGATCGCTGTGCCACTGCTTCCACTCTCTGAAGGTCTGGGAGCACAGGCCAGGGTCCTCCAGTAGCGCACAGATTACTGCCAGCTCCGACTCTTTGGCCTGTGGGGAGCAAATAGACAACAAGGAATGACAAAGTTGTATCCTTCCAAGTGTAATTATTCTGTAAATTCCCAAATAATCAAGAAGGGTCTAGCTGCAAAGCCCCAGGTTCAGGCCAGCTCCATTGAACACTTTTGGTTACGCATCGAGAAACCATGTAGGCAGGTGACAATCATGAGGATATGATGGCATATGTTTAAGGTTAACAATACCACCTTGTGTTTTTATCTTATAAAGTAGGTAACGTTACGCTAAGCAGGAAATAACTTACCGACCTAATGAATTGAACATTAGCTAAAAATGCTAATTCCGCTCTTAAACTATGAATGTTAGCCAACTATGCTAATTCAGCAAGCAAACTAACATTAAAAGTGCAATGTTAATTTCAGAATCAACTTATTCAAATAAATAGTAGGCATCATTTTCACCTGTAAAATATACATTTAAAGTGTATTGTTATTAACAAAAAGCCCAGCTTCTAGCTAACAGAAAGGCAATAATACAATTCCACCAGTGCTCAAACTGACTACACCTCAAAATATAATATCTTATAATTGTCACGTATTGTGTGTTGGCAACGTTTGAAATTAATTAAAAGAACAAATCTTAAAACAAGACACGGACCACGTGAATTATTGACCAGCCAATCGGAGCGGCTGTACTCCTTCTCCCTCTGTTTGAGGACTGACTGGCACTACAGTGACTCACTATCGCCTTTAGAGGAACAAGTGGTATTACAAGACAGGAAGGTCAAGGGGTAGTCAGTTAGCATGCTAACTTCAGTGCATATCTGCAACACAATACAAAGATGTTGATTTAAAATCTTATTTTATACATTATATATTTTTTCCCCCCTGGTGCTAATATGTATGTTAGTTTTTGCTACAAGTTATTTCCTGCTTAATGACATGTTAAAATGTGGTTTGTAGTTTTCTTTGTGGTTTTTAGTTAAGGTTGTGTGGCTTGGTGCGATACAATGGACTCAATATACGTAGACTACTTTACTTATTAAGGATAAGCATGGTAAAGCAATTTACTGCGCAATATAGTACAGTTGCAATTAAACTAGTATGCTAAGAAGCGAGATGGGACCCAGCACCGGAGTTTGGCCTAAGCATGGAGCTCTGCAGAGGGACACTATTGTAATAATCTGTGTTTGTGCTACCTTCAAGGTGCTGCGGAGGGCTCGGACCCGGTGCAGCCTGTCGTTGAGCAGAGGGTCCCTGGCTCTCTGTGTGAAACAACGTCGAAACTCCTGCCTGCTACAGGGTCTTGAGTCCCCTAGGGCCGTCACGTTGGCTTGCTCCAGGGCCCGGTACAGCTGCTCTAGCCCATCCAACGGCTCCGGCTCGCGGCATTCTGACACCCGCCGCTCCCTTCCCTCAGACACCCTCCTCTCTCTGCTCTCAACTCTCAACTCCCGCAGGTCTGAGACACCCAGGAGAGGAGTCAGATTCACTGCTATAATGACACAATGAGCTTCAGTTGGATTAAGTGTGTGAATATAGAGCTCAAATAATCAATTAATTGGATAATTGACAACAACTGTAACTGCAACTATCCTTATAATTGATATTGTGGTGATTGACGCCTCCGACTCCCGTCTCTCGGCACCACAATCTTCATATTCATATTATATATTCATATTTTCAGCCACTAAAATGTCCCAATGTTGGTGGTTAGCTGACTATTACAACAAGTCCTCCAACTCATACGACCAAATGGGCCGATTGCTCAGGCCCTTATTACGACCAAATATGTTGTTTGTTCAAGCGCTTAATACGTCCTATGATTACGTTTTAAAGTTTTCGCCTCTAGTGCTCCCGTTGAATGCAAACGTTACAGATGGTCGTTTATTCACAAATAACCCTCTCTGTAAAATCCTAAATTGTAGGATAGTTTGGCCATTAAAACGCTTTTTGATTAGATTTCTAGCGAGAAGTGTATATTGTACTTTTAGAATCCACGTCCAGTCGATATGTAGGATCTATAGTTTGATAGATATTACGAAGATGATTTGAGGTATGCGGCAGCCTCCATGTAAAGTTACGGGTTGAAAACAGTATTTCCGGTCTCGAGGTTTTCAAAATAAAACCAATGATCAAATTATTTAACAGGGATATCTGCAGTACTCATCAACTAAAAAACATCAGCTTATCCTTGTTAATTATACGACATTAATTGGTTTAAATTGTGTACAATGCTTTTGTGTTTTTCCCATAGGTGTTTCTCTTTCGATTCTGAGAGACACCTTTCTTTTTTCAGAGGTTTTGATAGGCTAAAACATCGATTGTTTTAGCCGCAATGCACGTCGGGATATGGTGTTTATATGATATGAAATCGTAAAAAAATTTTTTTTAAATAAAATAATACTTTATTCCGAGTGTTCTTGCTTTTCTCTTTGGAAGTCATCACATAACGGCATTGTAATACACGGTTCGGCTGCATTAAATATACCATATCTGCTGTAGATATTTATTTATAGAGCCCTGATCAGAAGACCTTTTGACAAACTGTAAGAAATGCCGCCAAAACTGAATACGTGACGTGGATCATAAATATATCAGCAATTAAACAACATCTTCCATTTCTTTTCACACAATACGTCTCCTTGCAGTATCAACACTAATTCGGCTGACTTTTATATTTGATACAATTAGTAGATAGGCTATATTTACACCATAACGGTGCACAGCTGATAGAAAGGGATTTTTGTGTCGTTTTTAAAGATATTATTTAGTGAACTACCTTTCCAACTCCTCATGCAGTTGACTGTTACAGGTTTATACAGGTTCATGGTACAATGCATAAGCTTCAAATCGAGAGACTGAAACTGTGTTTTCCTTTACCGTTCTGTTTTAATTTCACAATAAAGTTAATAGTCATATTATGTTTGATATTATTATGTTTTATTAACTACACCACTGTTTTTTTTAACCCGCACCGCCTAGTGGTTAAAGCACGTTATTGAATGTTGTTGTTGAATACGTTTTATTTGATGAAAACATTTAATTATTAAGAGTAGCCTACATACAAAATTGGGGGAAAGTAGAAGGCATGGTAGAAATATAGAATAGAAAATATCAAGAAGATACTGTAGTGATCTCTACAATAAAACAGTTTAGTGCAGGACGTCCAAAGATATTAACAGGAGGATGTGCAAAACAGACAAACTAATAAGGCTTTATTTAAACATTAAAGAATACTTTAAGTTAAGGTCTTCTTTTGAATAAGACATTTTTTTTGGGTTATCCACAGATAAATATGGAGTCTGACAAAGTAATCCAATATATTGCATAATTTATTTTGGCACTTGACAATCACCTTCCCTGAATTTGACTCATGTGTAACTAAAGTCTGATTTAAGGGTCGTTTATATTTCACATCATTAATCAGAATCTGCAAAGTAACTAAAATAAATGTAGTGGAGTAAAAATACCAGGTTAACCTCTGAATTGTAGTGGAGTAGAACAAAGTAGTACATGCTGCTGTAACAAAAACATTTCCCAACTTGGGATCAATAAAGTATATCTTATCTTAAGATGATCGATGGCTACTGCCATATTTGCAAAATGTGCCTCTGAACCTTGACAAGTGCATGTTTCAGGCTTATCAATGAACAACAGGAGGGGTCACAAACATAAGACCAGCTGTTAAATAAAGCTCTTCTGACCTTAGCTGGCATGTGGGTATATTAATTCACCCATTTATTAATTATATGTTTTAAATTTGATAACACCACTGTGTTTCGTATCCCCTAAACCTCTAGGGTGTACACAGTTAAATACTGACAACTTCTAATTGTGGGAAATACGAAAATGTCTTATAAAGAGACGTAACATAGAACAAGTTGCGAAACACACAATAGCCATCATGTGTAGTTTTAGGGCTGTTTGACGCTCAGCGTAACCTTGTCGCACTGCCACTCCAACATCCAATCACAGGGCTTGATGACTAATCACGGGGTTTGTAAAGCAAGGCGGATGTTGTAGTCCCAAACGATAGTTGGGGATTCTGGGTAGTGTAGTGTCTTCGGAAACTGTAGAGTCTTAACTCCGAACAAACTATTTGTTTCTCTGAATCGAAGGACAAAAACACAAAAGCATTGTACACAATTTTAAACCAATCAATATTGTGTAATTAACAAGGATAAACTGATGTTTTTTAGTGGATGAGTAATGCAGATATCACTGTGTAATCATTTGACAGTGAGGGGAATATATCCGGTTGTATTATGAACACTTCGAGACCGGAAAAACTGTTTTCACCCACGCTAACTTTACATGGAAGCTGCATACACGTTCTCCTGGCGAGACCTCAAATCTTCTTCGTAATATCTATCAAACTATAGATCCTACACATCGACTGGCCGTGGATTCTAACAGTACAATATACACTTCTCGCCAGAAATCGAATCAAAAAGCATTTTAATGGCCAAACTATTCCACAATTTAGGATTTTCCAGAGAGGGTTATTTGTGAATAAACGTCCCTCCGGAGCGTTTGCAATGAACGGGCCGGGAGCATGTTGTTTCTTACATGACCACTAGAGGTGCTCTAGTGGTCGTGTAAGAAACAACATACACTTTAAAACGTGTCTCTGGGTCGTAATAATATATGGTAGTTTTTTGTAGGAGGACAGGCTGGACTATTAAGTTATTTTGGACAGTTGCTTTCAAATAATATCTAAAATGGTATGTTCCTTGCTTGAGGCTGGATAAATGAGACTTTGATTGTACTGCACGAGTTGTGTGAGGGGATTGAAAAAGGGAGATTTGATATACTTTTGTTGTTGTGGCGCGGTTCCTATTTACTTACATTTGTCAAGACTTTTCTCCATTTTCAGATTCTTTGTTCATCGTGGGGCATTTGATTAAAAAAACTTCTCCTTAACAAATTCAAGGTAACACAGGGTGAGTAATTGGTATACACATGCTTATTTCGGGTTATTCCATTAAGAAGTAAAGCTAAAGTTCCCCTTTGTTCACCAGAAAAGTGAAGGGCCTTTTGTCTGCGTTACAATTGCTTTTACTTTTGATAAGACTTATACTATGGAGTATTTTACAGTGCTGTCAAATATACTTAAGTGAATATATCTGAATACTTCCTCTAACACGGACTAAATTAAACCCTCTTAGCATTAATGCATTGTATGTATTGACAAATGTATGCTGTGTTTCCTCTCAATAACCTGTGTAACATAACCTGGCCAGCTCCACTTTCAACTCATACCCTGCTTACATCGGATTTCTTAATATTACATAAAAATGTATATGCAGTACTGTCAATTCTATGATAATCTCTAATTAAGGAAATCATAATTTATGGCACATTAGCTACTTAATAATAATAATAATAATAATAATACATTACATTTATAAAGCGCTTTTCCTGGTGCTCAAAGCGCTTACAAGCAAGTAAAACAAAATAACAACAAAAGTAGAAAGTGCTAAGCTAAACCACTTTCTCTGAGGACCATAGGGACCTTTTCATGCATTGTGTTGTATGAAAAGTGTTTTCTCTCCTTGTATAAAACAGATTATGTGTAATTTCCTTACCGTTCTCAGCCTCGAGTATATCTGCAGCCTGCTCCTCTGCCTCCTCGTCCTCGCTCCTCTCCTCCATGTGAGCCGGGGTGTGCAACAGCTTAGCTGGCATGGGGTCTCTGTTCCTGGGCAGACTCTGGCTGCGCTGCTTGTGAGAGCGTCGGTGTGTGTGGCTGTGTGTGTGTGGCCCTCGCTCCAGAGGGAAGGGCCCGTCCCGCTCCCTGTCCCTCTCTGCGGCGTGGTGTCTCCGTACGGGCAGCGTGGCCTGTCTGAGTCTCTCGGGGGACATGCCATGTCTGCCCAGCCCTCCGTACAGTCCCATATCTCCTGCCATGCTCCCCATCAGGCCCCCGTAATCATTCTCCCCCGGGGCCGTCTGGAGGAAGTGCAGCCCTGAGCTGGTCAGAGGGGTCTCGATGAGGTCCTGCCAGGAGCGTCTCTCACGGTGGGTGGAGCGGCATCCTGATGAGTGGGTGCTGGTGCTGCCGGTGCCCATGCCCATACCATCTCCACGCTGGTCCTCGGCCGAGGAGTGGGAGTGCGTTGACTCGCTGGAGAAGTGCCGCCCGTGCTTGGGCTCTGGGAAGGGGCTTGAAGAGTTCACCTGGAGAGTGAGAGGGGAGGTGGAAGAGACCATCTGTGGAGGGATGGGGGAGGTGGAGGCACTCATCGATGGAGGGAGTGGGGACGGAGTGGAGCGCATAAGGCTCATGGAGCTGACCGAGCGGGGCAACTGGTCGTAACTGTGAAGGAAGTTATTCTGAAGGCCCAAGGGTGAGTGAGACAGGTGGGAGGATACAAGTTGACAGAAAGGTGAAATGTAAGCACAGATACAAGGAAAAACGTGACCCGCAAAACAAGGAGAGTGACGAGGTGCAAGGAAAGAGAGAAGAAAGAAGGACAGGAAATATAAAGGGCAGAAAGAGAACAAAAGATGAGAGCAAACAAAGCAATGAGATGGCAGAATGACTGTTGTATGGCTCAGCTGTGGAAACATGGTACCACTGGACCTTCTTTATGTACAAGTCCTGTTCAGGGCTACATTATCTTTCAGAGATGTGATGAGCGTTGGCAATTGACGCCATCTAGAGGTCAGATTAAGAAAAATTCTGGCAGCAGAAAGCAGATAATCTTGGCTGCTTACTCTCACACTCTGATGTTTTATTAATGCTGAGAGCTCTGGTCTTTGCAGCTCGGAAAACTGTGGAGCTTTTAGGAATAAAATATTCCATCCGAATGAAACACTGCAAAGAAAATGTTAAGTGTGTGTTTGTGTGCTTACTGATGGCGTGCGGTGATATGTGTCACAGAGGGATGAGGGTCCCTCCTGTTTGAGCGTCATCGAGCCATCGACCTCGTCTTGATCGCTCTCACTCCAGTAGTCTGAAATCGAGTTAATAACACAAATGTTTACAATTGACGGGCAAAAATCGGTTTTATCTAGGAAAGTGAATCCATCTCACCTTCATCTGGGCGTGGCACCTTGTCATCTGGTGTGTAGCCGATGGCAGCTAGCCCCAGTCGGTTCATCCACCTATAGGAAACAAGGAGAGGAAAACATGTGAGATGTGTGAAGGAAGGAGAAGAAAGGTGACAGAGGAGGAGAGAAAAGGATGGGTTATACTGGGTAAGTGGTAGGTGATGAATACAAAAAAACGTTGACTATAAATAATTGAAGTGGTGTCTCTGAACGGTTTATAACTGTCTGAGGAGAGAGAGGCATCGAGATGGATGCAGAAAAGGATAAGTGACAATCCTCTGTCCCATCCTCTCTCAGCAGAGTCTCAGATGGTGTTCTCTTTCTACATCCATCCTCCGTCAGATCCCGGCTTGTCCCGTGACTCTGCAGACACCCAATAATAAGGTCGCTGCTAAGAATAGACGCAGAGTCCGTGCACAAGGAACAGGAAACTTGCATAATACAGGAAGCAGCTTCCACATTTATAACAATGTGTCTTATTGTCACAAAGCCCCATGAAAAGACTAAAACTAACAATGAATAATAAACTGGTGTAGCTTATTCCTTTCTGCCATTCAACTCAACTTTTGTCCGAAAAACAAGGGGGTTTGAGCCTCATAAAATATTCCTTCATAAAGATAAGATATAGTTTCATTGAAATAATCCCAGATACACAGTTAGCTCGGCTTCCAGAGATACTCAGTTGTACAACAAATGTGTATTAATCCATCGCTGAAAGTAGTCTCCATAAAATGCGTATTTCCTCCTGTTTTAGTACAGTTTGAGAAGTTTTGAGTTTGGACGCAATCCAGAGTTTAGGATAACTTAATCAGTTTTGGGAATCACTTTTGTCTTTCATTTTATTTAGTATGGTTTCTTATTATCTGTCTGCATACGTTGGGTATATTGTACCACAGGTTATACCTCTTTTCACTGCAAAAACTGTCCCAGGAACCTTTACACGGTAGGAATTCAGGTATTTAATCTGCGTTTTGACTGTAAATGTACTTCTTATGCTATTATTAGTATTGGCCCTGGGACTATCAAGTAGGAGCTTGCTGCAGCAAAGGATGCTGATTGGCCAAGTATGCTTGGATTTCCAATCGCAACTGCTGCAAACACTACATTAGCCTAACACTCCGATGTTATTGCCTCCAGAAGCTGAGAAATCCTGATGTAAGCTTGATGCATTTCAAGACATATATGGAGATTCTTCTGATATACCATCAACTCCCACTTAATCACACGTACAAATGCACATGAAAGGGCTGTCACACATCAACCTCCGAGCACAGCATGGAAGTCAAATATAGCTAGTTAATTACCCTCCCCCAATTATCGCCCCATGTCATTAATAATAATAATAATAATAACTTGGATTTCTATAGCGCCTTTCATAATACCCAAGGTCGCTTTACAAGGAAGAAAGGAGGTGAGAATAATTAGAGCTCATCATACTGTAAACATCTCCAAAATGTCACACGAGCACACACGTGACACAAACAATTACACACACAGTTCTACATTTAACAACAGAGGGCCGGGTTCATGCCTTATTCATGCGCAGTGTTGTGTGGCCTGTTGCCTTGTGTAAACTTGGTTTACTCAGTTAAAATATTCATGAAAGGACACGGGACGTCCCCAGTCTGTCATCCACATTAAGACACAAACACACACTCAGACACACTCACCTGTTCATTTCTTCAAGACAATCTGTGGCGAAGAAGAAGCTCTTGATTTTGGGATGGCAGGCTTTGAAGGCACTGTAGTCAGCCGGGGGAGAAGAAGACTGATTAGTGATTTTTGCGGTAGGTGTGCGTGCGTGCATGTCATGTGGGTGATAGCAAATGTGGTTGATTAGTAATTTCGGCGACATGTGAGGGACACTCACAATTTCCGTCTGCACTCTATGGCTCGGTCTATTCTGAACTCAGGGAGGCTGATGAAGCCCTCAGCCTTCTCATCCTGCAGGCACAGACAGATGGAGAGTGGTGGTACATTATCAACACAGAGAACAAAATGTCATACATACTGATGTACCAATTTTTATGTTGGATAGCAGTACTCTAGTCAAGCATATGAAAACAACATATGCTGTTTGTATTGGCTTCTTTCCCCACTTACAGTAACATGAGGATATATTATAATTGACTATCTAAGCTTTAAAACTGGAGCATAGAAACACATTTTCAGATCTTTTTCTTCCTAATTTGCAGATATGTTTATTAATCTAGATATCCAAACTACACCTTAAAGTCTTAACAGTGAGTCTTTTGCTTGTATCAGGTCAAACTACTACAGACAGCAACGAAAGATACATCTAAATCAGAGCTGCAACATTCAATTAATAAGCAAACATTGTTGGTTCTTTCACAAATGTGACAATTAGATGTTTTCCATGTTTACAGTCAAGTAAATAAATATAATCTGTACTTGCAGCCCTAATACAAAAGCTGAGTGAAAAAGGGTTAACGGTGATATTATATAATAAAGCAATGACAGTAACACGGAATGAATTCCATACACATGAAAATGGTTTGAAATGTTACCCTTAAAAATGTGTTTGGACTAATGATCTCATTATTATATTTATTTTATAACAGTTACCAGTGAAAACTATAATGAACAACATGTACAATGAACTGCTATATTTATATTGTGTACTTTTAATTTGTGTTGGTGTTTTTCTTTCTCAAATCTGTAGCTGGAATCTAACCAGTTGACTTGGCAATCTTGTTATTTTATGTTTAATGTTTATGTTTATGTATAAACGCTTTTATAAAAGCTGGGGAACAAAATAAATGCAATAAAAAGTAAGCAGCAGTGGCTCAAATATTCAATTACCTGGGTTAAGCTTCAAGTGACTGGATCCTACAATGTCTATTATGCAACTCAATAGTATATTTAATTATAGATAAATAAAGCTGTTAATATCTGTTTCAGTTGCAAGATTGTTTTGTAAAAAAAACGTGTTAGAAAAACAGAATGCAGGTGCAGGAAGGTGTTGCGGAGTCTGACTTTAACGATGAGATTCAGGACATATTGACGTGAATGTGATTCCTTACATTTTGGTTGGTATACCAGTAGAGGCAGGACTCCTTGAGGATAAACCAGTACTTCCTCCACTTCTGGGTGAAGTAACCTTTAGCATCCTTCTTCTTCCACAGCCAGCCCTCGCAGTCACCGTGGCCAAGGTCCTTACAGGAAATTCTCCTTCTACTGGCACTAGAGAGGGAACCTAAAAAGAGAGAAGAGAACGTTTTCATTTTCAAAGAATTTGGCAATAAAACGAGGTTCACCATTTATCTAGCGGTTCCAGGCTGGCTAATTCAACATTTCTGGACTTTAGGTCTGCAGTAGCTTACAGTTAAGAGTTTATTCTTGAAAAATCTGATGTTAACTTTTTAATTCCTCTAAACTGAAGATATTTTTAACACATCTCCACAGCATAAGAATATTCAGTGACAGTGATAAATCTAAAAGAGGTAAACAATAAATCGAATACGGCAGGTGTTTGCAAGAAAATATATTGTGCAAGTGCGATGGTTTTGCAACAGTACATGCATCACTTTTGATCAAGAACTGTGCATCTGGACTTTTCATTATATTGTCAGGCCTCCGGGTTAGTTTACAGTTCAGACATTTAGATTGAGACATACTTTGGGGGTGAAACGTTTTCCTACCTATACAGTGTTACAACTTTAACTGACCTTGAAGCAGGCCGCTGTGTCTGTAAATGCTTTGGCTAAACTTGGTGACTGTGTTGTGATTGTGTGTTTTTTAATTGTTTGTAACTGTAAAACTGTCTGAAACTGTGCTGTTACCATTCTTGGGTCAGGACTCTCTTGAAAAAGAGATTTTTAATCTCATTGAGACCTATCCTGGTTAAATAAAGGTAAAATAAAAAATAAAATAAAAAATAAGGTAAAAAAGAGAAAATGAGCCTACCTTTACTTCTCTTTTTAGTTTTCGTTCTTAGAGAGGTGTAATGGAAAGACTAGAAGGGAGAGGGAAAAAAACAATCTAGGTTGGTGTTCATGTACATCGAGAGGTTGTAGCAAGTTCACTCTACATGTTTAGCTTATTTTTATTGTATTATCCAGCCCATAGCAGAGAGGATTACTGGCACAGAGGGATCACAACAGTAATACTGCTGCAGCCAGGAAATGACCTACAACCTGTGATGGAAACAGTGGCGGACTGGCCATCGGGACGTTCGGGACGAATCCCGATGGGCCGGTACCGAAGTGGGCCGGTCGGGCCACTCGGCCAACGCCAATCGCCCCACTTCGGTACCGGCAGGGGCAGACTGGCCATCTGGAGAATCACAGAACGGCCGGGTCGGTTAATTAAAGTAGCGCTGACAGGCGACAGAGGTCCACCGTTTTCCCGCAGCGAGGCTCCCCCCGTTGACAGTCCCCCCCCCCCCCCCCATTCAAAGTCACAGAATATAATTGTGTGGTTAGCAAACACACTTGAATTTCACACTATTGCATTTCAGAAGAAGCTAATGCGAGTAGACGCTAAAGGTATCAACAAAACATAGCTGAATACATCTTTGGGGTTTTTATCTAGGTAACAAAGCTGAGTGAAATCTGTTTACAGTGGCGCTGACTCATTGTACGCTCATACAACTCATGTGCTTTAGAGGAGAGGCGAGGGCCAATGACTAACACAGCTTCCTGTAACCTAAATATGGAAAGCAATTTACCTCATCTGACTTTTATCTTTTATTTAATTATCAGAGTCCCCAATGGATTTGATCTCAGGTATCTCTCCAATTTTTGCCTGACTGTATGTTTAGCCATTATTGCTATTTGGACACACTCCATCTCCATGTAACAGTGGATGAGTCTTCATGTTAAGGCAAAAGAGGTGTTTCATTTCAACGTTACACTTTCTAATCAAATTCTTAACTTAGAATCTGCAGGACTTTTCCCATATTTATTAAAGTTTTAGTTTTTAACTTTTTATAGTGAGTTCATTGTTAATGTGAATGAAGCTTCTGTTGCGTCATTAAAATGCAGTTACAGAATAAAAATGTACTGAAAAAGGCAGCATTATTAAAACATCAGGTAACTAAGCCATCAGAACTATTGATCTATAAAACATCTAAAAAATACACAGTCAGCTCGTTGGCTCTGGCTGCTCTCCTACCTTCCTCATGGAGGCGGCTCCTGAGCTCCCTGAGCCGGAGTACCTACAGGACAACACACAGGATTAAATGTAACCACAAACAACTCTTTCAACTCCTTCCATCAATCCATGTGGTTAAACCACAAACAACCACAGACTCACCGGTCTATTGTGTCCGCTCGCAGTGTGTCCGCACCCCGCTGAGAGAGAAAAGGGGAACAAATGCCTCATTTAAGACTTGCACTTTCTTCTTTGCACCTTTGTTGGTAATAATCATATTGTTGTGATTTATTTAGTGTTTGTATAGGGGATGTATCTTGATAATCCAATTTCTAAACTATGTTCTAACTTTATTTTTTATTTATTTCAATTTTTTTATTTTGTATACAAACCCAAACCCTTTTCCAATTCCACCAATAATATGTTTAAGTGTATGCATTTCAAATATGGATAGAAGTGTTTGTGAAAAACTGTATATGCTTTATGAAATGCCTCTGTGAAACTATGAAAATCCAGTATAAGTTTGGGGAGATCATTATTTTAACAGATACATGTAAAAAGGCAAACTCTGTCCCTTTAAGAGAGGCCTAGATTTTTAAAAGTGGTTTTGTAGAGGATTCAATCATCAATCAGACAAATCTATTTTGAAGTAAAATATTTGAATCCCACCATTAATATTAAAAATTAAATATGAAAAAATGTAATTTAGCTTTGTTCTAAAGTGCTTTGGGGAAGTGGTACCTCAAATTGTAGGGGCCTTAGTTGCTCTACAAAATGTGTAGGACTGCTAGACATGAAACTTCCCTATAAATTGTCCATCGATAAGTTTAAAATAACATGTTGTTTTGCATAAATGTTGATGTTAATCGAAAAGAATCATGCAGAGAGGACGAGGGTGAAGAAACAAGCAGGTCATTAAAGTTAGCGTATGCTTGTTAGTGCCGGATAGTATACTTCATGTGCCACCGAATAGATATGAGTCACCAGCATGAGAAGCTGAGAGGGTTAGAGAGGCTGGTGTTAGCTAAGCTGTTAGCGCTGATGTGTGTATGTGTGTGTTTGCGTGCCTCTTGTTTTAAGCACAGTCGGTCAGTCGCTCTTGTAATTGGTCTGGCTGATGCTGAGTCATGCACCTACTCACAGGGATACGTGTTTTGCGTGCATGTGCGCATGCCAGTGTGTATGTGTGTTTGTCCAGAATAAACTCCTATTTAGACTCAGGCGTGTCTGAGGAGATGGGGATATTAAGATGAGTTAGGATGAGTCGTGAGATGGCTACCCTGCATGCAAATGCACTCCACTGTGCTGGTGTGTGTCTGTTTGTGTATGCCTGTGTGTGTTCTTGTGTCTGTGCTTGAGAGAAAAGTTACAGAGGGGTGTGTTTCAGAGTGTCACCGTCATTCTCATAATCTGTGAATCTGGCAGCCATGCAATGACACTGATCATCCTCACTCTCCTCTACCTGATAGACACAACAACGTGTGTGAATCTGTGAACACCATGACCTATCCTGCAAACACAAACCTTCGGAGAGGACATGCACTTGTAGGAAGTTGTGCGAGTGAGTCAGAGTAAAGCCTTGAAGGTGATTTAGCTGCCACTACTAGTCATTTATTAATAATATTTTTTTTCCTACAGCAGACCGTTTCACATTTGTTAGTAGAAAACAATGCATTAGTAATAGCTGAATTTTATTTAGCTCCTTCAATTTGAGGGTCCTTGTATTATTCAAATTGGCGTTAGTCAAAATGTCTGCAGTAAAAAAACAAGAAATTACATATTAAACGATAAACTACATATACTCCGCCTGTGAAAATAGTCATAAGACTTTTACTCTGATTATTCATGGGATCCACTAGATCCGGTCAACATTACAATGTATTAACACATTGGCATTGTAATATGATAATGTATCAGTCACATGCAAGAAGTGCATCACATAAATTAGAAACCTTACTTATGATTGATAGTTTTACTGAAGATGAGGAGCTTAGCATTCAACTCTCTATCTAAAGATTTACACCGGTTCAAATTCACTTCAAATGCAATGTGTATTTTGCATTTGAAGTGAATGCAAAATGTAATAATGTTTGGACAACGATGGAGCTCCAAGACCACAGAGCAGAGGAATAAGATAAAGTAGATCATGTTCTAACAACACATCCTCACTCCCAGGTCGGCCTATGTTGACGTTATGTCAAGGTCCCCTGTGTCGGCTTTTTCCAACGCAAGGGGGGGGGGCGGCCATGTCGGCTTTTTCCAACGCAAGGGGGGGGGGGCGGCCATGTCGGCTTTTTCCAACGCAAGGGGGGACGGCCCTTAGCGTACATTTTCAACTTTCCGGGATGTCCATAGGCTTCTGTAAAGCTCCTTAAACGTATGTTGTAGACGACTTGAGATCGCGAGCGAATGCTACCCGCAGATCCATTCTCACAGCGTTTATCAACCTTTTTCTTACTCCATATCAAGCGACACTTATTGTTTTTACTTCTTTATTTTAATTGAATAATGTAGGACTTTTGTTGCCGTCAGTTATGGGGAGAGTAGGGGCTCAGAATACTGACATCTGTATTGTTTCATCGTTTTTTCCTTCTAATTTTGTATTATTTTCTAAACCACACACTGTTATTTACTCAACAATAACACATAATTATCCTTGTGTTTATTTATTTGTTTGATTAATAAACACAAGTTGGAGTCCGTCAGGACCGAGGGTCGGAGCAGCTCATAGTATCCTAGTTGCTTTAGAGAATTTTACACCCGGAAGTAAGTATTCTCTCCGCTTCGCTTGACAAACCCTGTGATAGTCCTCAAGCTCTGTGATTGGATGTTTGAGTGTGCGCCGAGGGTTACGCCGAGCGTCGAACAACACTTTGAAATGGGATGGAACCACGGCAGACTGTCCAAAACTGGATTTGAACGGGTCCACCCCGTCCCCCACCCCGTCCCCAGAACTACACATGCTGGCTATTTTGTGTTTCGCAACATATTTAACTTCTATGGCGCGTCTCTGGGAATTGTAGTTTTAAAAGACGTTTTCATATTTCCCATAATAAGAAGTTGCCAGTATTCAACTGTGTAGCCTACATCCCTGGAGGTTTAAGGGGTAGGAAACACTCACATTTAAAACATATAATTAATAAATGGGTGAAAATAGCTTATGCCCATAATGGGCAGCATTAATATATATACCCACATGACAGCTAAGGTCAGAAGAGCTTTATTTAACAGCTGGTCTTATGTCTGTGACCCCTCCTGTTGTTCATTGATAAGCCTGAAACATGCACTTGTCAAGGTTCAGAGGCACATTTTGCAAATATGGCAGTAGCCATTGATCATCTTAAGATAAGATATACTTTATTGATCCCAAGTTGGAAACATTTGCGTTACATCAGCATGTGTAACAGTTGTAAATATGCAGTGGTGTTTATTTGTAAATCATTTAGTATAATCACACAAATTCTGTCTTTTATTTAATAATTCTGTGTTCTTTATTTATTGAATGTACAATACCTGACAAGGTCGGAGATGAACAACTTGGGTCGCAGGTTCCTCAACAGTGCATTACAAGACATCTATCAATATGTGTATACCTCCACCAATAAACCATCTGCACATTTCTTATACTATCTACATACATCTTATAAGAGTATAATACATATGTATAATATCAGTTAAAAGAAGTGCTTCAACATAGTTAACATTGCAGGAAAGCAATATATTAGTACTTTGTCAGGCTTAATATTTATACCCCCAAAGCTTTTTTCTTATTCAAAATAAGACCTTAACCTAAAGTATTCTTTAATGTTTAAATAAAGCCTTATTAGTTTGTCTGTCTGTGTCTCCTATTCATATCTAATAATAAAAATAATACATTTCAATAACGTGCTTTAACCACCAGGTGTCCCTTTCTATCAGCTGTGCACCGTTATGGCGTAAATATACCAATATACCGATTGGATCAAATATAAAAGTCAGCCGAATTAGTGTTGATACTGCAAGGAGACTTATATTGGGAAGAGAAATTGAAGATGTTGTTTGATTGCTGATATATTTATGATCCACGTCACATATTCAGTTTCGGCGGCAGTTCTTCCTGTTTGTCTAGAAGTCTTCTCATCAGGGAACTACGGCAGATATGTAATATTTAATGCAGCCGAACCGTGTATTACAATGCCGTTATGTGATGACCTCCAAAGAGAAAAGCAAGCAAACTCGGAATAAAGTATTATTTTATTTTTAAAATATGTTTTCGTATTTCACAACAGGAAGTCCGGTTAACTAAAATGTCCGTGCGGAACAACAACCCCAACCCATAGATCCGTGGGTGAATAATGTCAATCACCACATTACACACATCCCTTCACATTTTAATTTGAATTTACATTAAAGTATTTCGTGAGGCCTTCTAAAATGTTTTTAAATATAATTAGGGTTGTAGTTGAAGAGTTTGTAAATTATTGCGTTGCCTGGCAACGCAATCGCACAACGGCACGTCCATTAATACAGATACAGATTTCAGTATTCTGAGCCCCTACTCTCCCCATAACTGACGGCAACAAAAGTCCTACATTATTCAATTAAAATAAAGAAGTAAAAACAATAAGTGTGGCTTGATATTGAGTAAGAAAAAGGTTGATAAACGCTGTGAGAATGGATCTGCGGGTAGCATTCGCTCACGATCTCAAGTCGTCTACAACATACGTTTAGGGAGCTATATAGAAGCCTATGGACATCCCGGAAAGTTGAAAATGTACGCTAAGGGCCCTTGCGTTGGAAAAAGCCGACACGGCCGCCCCCCTCTTGCGTTGGAAAAAGCCGACACAGGGGACCTTGACATAACGTCAACATAGGCCGACCTGGGAGTGAGGATGTGTTGGTTCTAACAACATCTATCATCTCAGTAGGATCAAATAATTGTTGATTTTGGTAATTCTTATGGGATTTGTTGACATAAAAAAATCTAGCCAGCATTATCCTTTACATGTTAGTTACATGACATTTCTCTATCCATTTGTAAACAAAATAGACATACAGACCACCACCACTTCTATCTAGCTTAACCAGACAAAAGTAGACACACATTGAAACTGTAAAAAACATATTTTAAATAGGTAAAAGAACCCAGACTGTGTACATACGGGCAAAGCTTCGGGTGGCTGGTCTAGGCGCAGGGTGGAGGACAGCATGGAGGGGCTGATGGGAAAGCTAGGGCTGCTGGGATTGCGGCTCTTGCGCCGAGAGCGTCTGGTGGAATCCCTCCGACTCTCTCTGCCCGGACCCTCGGGCTCCTCCTCGATCACCAGGATCTTGTCGTCGCTGAGGTAACGCAGCAGAGAGTTGTCTGAATCTGTGTGGATGAGGAGGGGTAAAGGCAGGGAGCAGTTAGAGGACGGACAGGCTCAACTTAAAGCGGAAAAACCCACAGAGGAGGGGGAAGAGAAGCGTCGTAAAGTTGAGGGATAACCCAAAAGTAGAGTCAGATGAAACCCTTACAGATAAAAAGCCAACAGAAAGGGATAAAAGGGCCTCAGAGCTGAAGCATCTGATATGGATCCAGCCGGGGACACACAGCTAATCTGTTTGCCATGATTATGCTGATTTGGAGGGCACAACTGCTCAATCCTGTCGGTCAGAGAAAGTGTTATTCCAGATAGAAAAAGCTTCTCATTTAATTTGTTTATTATCCATGTACCTAAATGTGGAGTAAGGGACTGAAGGAGAGAGAAGGAGAAAGGCACACCCCAGTTGTGTGCTTTAATGTTATTCATGGACTTTCTGATGGTAGAGTGGAGGATCCTCGGTTGAATACAGATCAAGTCTCGCTGCAAAACGGTGAAGCTGGTTAGAATTGGTCAAAAAGAAATTCCCTCATTTCCAGAGCAGCTGTATAAATGCAATTTCCTTGCATTTATGTTTCCTTGTAGCTCTGTCCGATACATACCTGGCTGATATGTATCCTCACACAACCACACCATGAAAACCAGAGGATGAGCTGAAATGTGTTGAGTATGGAGCAAAGCGCAAACCGTTTCTATATTTCCATATGCGTGAGGGGCTGTGTGTGTGTGTGTGTGTGTGTGTGTGTGTGTGTGTGTGTGTGTGTGTGTGTGTGTGTGTGTGTGTGTGTGTGTGTGTGTGTGTGTGTGTGTGTACCTCGGCTCCCTCTCTTGCCCATGCTGGGTTCCTTGGGTTCGGCCATCCAGTTATATTCGGGAGGCATGGAAACGGGTCTGAGGTCACCTGGAACGACCAATCAGCAATCAGAGTCGTCTAAGCGGGGGAGGAGTGGGGGTGTCGCGGGAAGACGGTGACTGAGAGACAGCGTGGGAGACAGCTGGACAGGGGTGGACAGGTGAGACAAAGTGTGTGCAGTTGAGGGGGGAGGAACGGGAGACTCTCAATTATGATGTGCAAGGTAGGGATCACACAGCCTTATTTTCATTCAATAATATCAAGTATGTTTTTCATTCTCAGTTTTTTTTAATCCACCACAAGGGGGTTAGTTGAACACACAGTCTGCTAGCATGTTTTATTGATAGCTAATTACCACTTGATATTATTTCAAGTCTTATCAACATAAAAGGGTTTTACAAAAAAAAAAATGGTCACAGGTGTTGGATTTCGAATAGATCAACAAGTGTACGGTGAATATTAACTTTAGTTGTATCTCTATTTTGGTCTCCGGCGACTAATGAGGGAAATATATTGTTATTCAGCAGCGACATAACTTTGTTTTTGTACAATTTATTGCTGGACAGGTAATGTACAGTTGGTAAACCTAAGCATTAATTGTTGAAATAATAGTACTGAATATAGTCTTATTAAGAGCAGAGTTTTCTTACAGAAATCCAAAACAATTACCTCAAAGAGGCTAAAATCTCCATATACCTACACCAAACAATGGAGGATGACAATTACCTTTGGCAAAGAGGTTATATTTGTGGTATGGTTGTTTTTTCAGTAGGTTAAAACAAAATACTGGACGGTTTTTATGAAACTTGGCACCGGGCAAGGAGAATCCATTTATATTGGAGTTGGTCTGACTCACAGGTTAATACATGCATTATTTTTCATGATGGAGTACCCTTCAGATTCTCTGCGGATTTGTGGATTGGGAGCCAATCCTTTCGTATAATACATTGTCATTGTACCATTATTAACAGAAAAACAGATGTATTGATTAATTTTCAAGTCCAGTTGTGTTCTGTGCCACTTTACTAATCACTTTCTTACAATACAAGTGACTAGTATAGCTATCAAGGTTACCAAAAAATCGTATTGTCTTCCAATACTTCCGTCAGTCACATGACCCTCGTCTTTCACATAATAGGTCCCCTTGAGAGTCTCCCAGGACGGTACAGGATGTCTAAAAGCTTTCTCGGACAAGTGTGACACAGGTGGTGGGGCAGACAGGGAGCTGGACACAGTGGTTTGGACTGACCTTTTGTGGCATGTGATCAGTGTTTTTGGGACGCGAGGTAAAGACACAAAGAAGCTGAGCCATGAAGTGAGAGATGATGAACACATAAGGAAGGAGTTCTGAGAAAAGGGTGAGAAGAGTAGCGGGAGATAGCATGCGGTTGTACAAAGCAAACACAGGCCGTTAATGCCCCATTCGCACTGTTCAATTGCGCTCTCCATCTCACCATGGGTTGGGGTCTTGTCCCGCCTACGAACCCCCGTATTGCGGGTCCTGTCATAGTCAGAACCCGGGGGTCCGTCTCCCTCCAGCAGGGAGAAGTACTGACCACTGTCCTGGTCCAGGTAGTAGCTGACGGCCTCCGAACCTTTGGAGCCGGACTGGGAGCTAACGCTGTAGCGGTTGATCTCGTCGCAGGACATCAAGCCCATCTCATCCCTGGAGAGAGCATCATCATCATCATTATCAGCACCATCATCATCATCATAATCAATGTAATCATCATCATCATCATCATCATCATCATCATCATCATCAGCATCATCATCATCATCAAACATCTGTGTGTGCTTACCTGGTGCTGTAGAGTCCAGAGACGGGGGAGAGGATGTAGACGTCCTGCATGCTGGGAGCGTCCATTTTGGACATGCCTAGAGTTCCAACGGGTGTCGGGGAGGTGCTGGTGGGGCTGGTGGGGACCGGCTGAAGGGAGGAAGAGGAGAGGAAGAAGTGGTGAATGACTTGCACCTTTTTCACTGAGCAAAGTACTTAGATGTTTACTTAAGGGAAAGTAGTAATGGGACAGTGTTAAACTTCGAGCCAAAAGTACTCATTCTGCAGACCAGCTTATTTCCTATTTTCTGTACAATATAAATGTTATCATGATATAATAATTATTAAGGCATGTGTTCATTTTGCAGGATTTGTTGTTACTATATATAGATTTAGTAAAACAAAATCCTGCAAAATGAACACATGACCGGGACACTTCCCAAAGGGATTTAAAAGATGATCTTAACCTATAATAATACATCATAAATGATATGTTGATTATGTTTTTTATTAATTAATCTAAATTTCAAAGTCACTGCTATCAAACATGTAATGGAGTAACAGGCACAATATTTGCCTCTGAAAGTAATAGGAGGACACACAAAGTAGCTGGAAAAATAAATATTCAAGTACATTTCAAGTACCACAACATTGTACTAAATGACAGTGCTTGAATGTATTTAGTAACTGTACACCACTGTCAGTTAGTTATAATGGGGCATGGTGAGGGGATCTGGGAGCAAAATCTGTAGAAACTGAGCATGAAATCTTTTCCTGCCTCAGAGAAAAACAAACGGTTTACGGCGTATGAGCGAAGGGAACATTTTATTTGTTGTTTTCTTCCTCAAACTGCAGCCCTCACTCATTTTAGCACTGAATCAAAGTTATTTCCCCACAGTTGCTATGTTGTGTATGTTGTCTTTTTTTATATTATTCTGACTGTGCAGCCTCTCCCACGTTCAAACGCTCATTCACTATTCTGTCATTTTGTCTCTAGCCTCTTCACTCACACAGGGCTCTCCATGTCTGTTCCCATGACAACCTCTCCTCTCCTCGCCCTCTGCGATGCTACGAGAGAAGAAGAACGCGGAGGGAAAAAGCTAGCGTGACCTCCTACCTCAGCCTGACTCAAGGACACGTAGATGCATGTGTCATCAGGTGAGGACAGGGTGCCTCGCTTCTGATGTCACAGAAACTCTGTCCAATTTTTTACGTGAATCATTTGTTTTACTCTTGAGGAGTAGCTCGGTTGACAAACACTCGCCCGAGGAAGAGGATTTCAGATTTAGACAAATGACTTGTTTTACTATACTGTTTGAAGAGCACACTCCATTTTAGAGAGGAGAGCGTGTGGACAGAATGGAAAACAGACAGAGAGCCGGAGCGACGGCGAGGCGGGCAGCGTTCTCATTAGAAAGTCCAATGTTTCATCATTTCATGAGAAGTGCATTAGGCGAATTCATTTCATATTCCAAACTTTCCATCCACCCCCCCCCCTCTCCCTCTCTACCTCCATCCCCAGGCCCTGTCTCTATCTTCATTTCTCCCTCTCTCTCACGGTCTTCCTCCCGTGAAGGCAGCTTACAGTAAGACGGCTTCACATAAATAATGAAGACCGGGTGGAAAGAGAGGGACGCCAGAGCAAAGGAAATAGGACAAAGAGAGAGAAACAGAGAGAAAGAGTGAAGTGAGAGGAAGAGGGAGTAGGGCGGGGGGGAGCTGTGCAGTGTGGTGACTGGAGCTGAGAGTGAAAACAGTAATTTAGTGATTACAGCCCACTGCTGCCTGCATGGGAAAGTGGAGTTGGGGGTAGAAGTGGAGAGAGATGGGACCTCCACAGCAGGAACAATTCCAGTCTGTTAAAACAGCACTTAAACCAGGGGTGTCAAACTCAATTTCATCGCGGGCCACATTCGCATAAAGGTTGCACTCAAAGGGCCGGTTGTACCTATATAAATATACAATATATATATAAAATAATGTATTATATTTAGGGCTGTCAGTCGATTAAAAATATTTAATCGCGATTAATCGCATGATTGTCCATAGTTAATCGCGATTAATCGCAAATTAATCGTACATTTTTGATCTGTTCTAAATGTACCTTAGAGGAATATTTTTCAAGTTTTTAATACTCTTATCAACATATGAGTGGAGAAATATGCTTTATGCTAATGTTTATTATCATTTGAACAATGACAAATAACCTCATGAATATTAAACACAACAACCTCTGAACATTACAAATATTCGCCTCAATTCAACCTGGAACCTCTCATACAATACAAATGGTGTGTGTGTGTGTGTGTGTGTGTGTGTGTGTGTGTGTGTGTGTGTGTGTGTGTGTGTGTGTGTGTGTGTGTGTGTGTGTGTGTGTGTGTGTATATGTGTGTGTGTGTGTGTGTGTGTGTGTGCGCGTGTGTGTGTGATGGATCGTTGGAGCTATGTGCAACTCAAGGCATATGCTCGAACGGGAGCTGCCTGGACGCTGCAATCATGTTGCGCACTATCCGTGCTGAGTGTGCTGACTTTTCGTACAATGCCCCACTGTCTGGCTTCCTGCATAAAGTCAAGTGCTCGGCGCAGTTGTGGCGAAATGTCGCTCCTCTGTTTTCATTTAAACAGCTCCATATCCGTTAGCGCAGCTAGCTAGCACCAGATGCTAACAACAACAATGCACGTAAGGTCTCTCTCTCGCTCGCTCGGGCCACACATACACACACCCTCCCGGTCCTCCCAACAGCCAGTCGGTGCCTGCCGGTGAGCGTGGAAGTGTGGTCTGCCACAAGCGGGCGGCAGGAGCGGGGCTGTCAGCATCAGCTTGTAGATGGTATTTTAAACTCGATGCGCTGAAACTACGGGGCGGCCGAGGAAAAAAAATACACATGCGTTAATCGCGTTAAAATAATTAGTGGCGTTAATTTTTTTTTGCGTTAACGCGTTAACTTGACAGCCCTAATTATATTACATTATTGGCTCTGAATTGGATTATTATCGGATAGGATAATAACGTAGTAATTAACTACGTCTGAAAGCAGAAGTCCAGGCCAAATAATTGCAAGTCTCTTCAGTGCACATGTCACAAAACGAGATGCATTGTGGGACATGTAGTTTATGGGCAACCTGCTTCTGTAAAGTGGCATGTAACTGTATAATAAACGTATTATATTCTTTGCAAGCTCTTGCAGGGCCACATAAAATGAAGTCACGGGCCGGATTTGGCCCCCGGGACTTGAGTTTGAGTCCCGACTGAAACCATCTGACCCCCGCTGCGTCCACTCCAAACTATACCAAAATAATCTGCTGCTTCAAACCCTCTCCACACCAATGTTCCCCATCCCACAACCTTTGCTTGCACTCATTGATATAATACAATAACATATTACATGACTATGTGAGGGAATTAAAGGGGCTCTATTATGCTTATTTTCAGGTTCATATGTGTATGTTGTGCCTCTACTGTGACATGTTTTCATGCTTTAATGTTCAAAACATGCAGCACCTCTTTTCACCCGCTGTCTGAAACCAGAGCCCAGTCTGCTCTGATTGGTTAGCTGACCGGCTCTGTTGTGATTGGTCAACAGCTCAATCACGTACAATGTGTTGGAGCGCTAATAGAAGCTCAGTGTTACGTCGTGATGTCCCCATGTCGTGGAAGTAAACAAAGAAGTCCAATGGACACGTTTCAGGCAAGGGGGGATTATGGGAGAGAAAGTCCCTCTGGAGGGACATTTGGGGATTTTAACCTTAGCAGACCATTTACATGCAAACCTTTTTAACAAACAACAGGAAAGGGAACAACTAAAAGGCATTATAGGGCCCCTTTAGGAGTTGTTACTAAAATATGTAATAAGAAGGATTTCTTGTATTGGAACTTGATGGTATCAACAGTTTGAGTGAAGGTTTAAGCACTCAAGGGCTTGGATTTTGTAATGTATAGTAAACATATTTGGACTGTTATAGACCATAAAAATAGAATGTATGAATTAAAAAATGGGTGTAGTTCTCCTTTAAGGCCATTTACTTACAAATCCCTGGCTTTTGTTTCTATCTCTTGATCTTCATCAAGATATACTACATTTTAAGAACCTTCACTTACATTATAATTTTTTTTGATCAAATATTTATCTTTGAAGGAATAATGGCAGACATGTCAAGTTGCATTAGCTGCCATAAAAGTAGACCAAAGAAAGTACTGTAGAAAAAATGTCAAAGAAACATAAAAAACATCACTCATTTGGCTGGTCCATTAATAAGTCATAACAACACGTTTTGCCTAAAATAGCAGGCAGTTTCATAGAGAAATTATTTATGTATCTAAACATATAACAGATTTATGAAAGCCAGGTCATGGACAATGTGTGGCACACGTGTGACTAGTGAAGTGACCTGTGATGAGACCTCCAATCACGCATGACATGACCCCCGCCATGATGCACATTTGACAGCAACTCAGCAGACACAGCAGCAATCAGCATCATAGTAATTACAGTAGATCATTAAATTGCTTCTACTCCATCCTACGGTAGACTCAAACACACACACAGAAAGAGAAAAAGAGAGAGATATTATTGAGTAGAATAAAGGACGTTGCCATGGAGGGATTTGGGGCTGGAATCACATGATAATTTGCAGAGATAAATTGTTTCCTTTGTGGATTCGGTGATAATCCGGCTGAACATTTGCCACATTTGTGCTACACTTCACAGCCGTGCAATTCATCCTCTAATACCGGGCTTAGAAATATGAGAGTGCATGTGTTTTCACGTGTGTTTATTTTTGAGAGCGTGTATGTACAGTATCAAAAAACAAGCTTTAAGAGTGCAGTGACCCAGATCCTTAGCCTCTCAAAGGAGCAATGCGACTGATAAAAACAACCCTTCGCACAGAAACACACTCGCTTTGACACACACAAATGGACAAGCGTGCATATGGCCGCGCTTCAAAATGTGTGCACACTGACACACACACGCAGGCTGTTTAGCAGGATTCAGTGCATTATCTCCAGTATTTGCTGAGTAGCAGCTCTTGTTTCGGAGCCAGTGGAGCTGCCTGTAGTTGCTTATGAATAATTAAGAGCTCCAGTCTTTCCGAGAGAGAACAAATCTAAAAGTCTGCTTTCTTCTCTTCTCCCGCAGATATCTCGGCGCTCTGATCTCGGTGCTAACGGCGCGTTTGTGTCTTAGCAGCCCATCAGGGATAGAATTCCCACAATCCTCTGCTGTTGCACACGGCAAATGTAACAATAAGCTCATGGTAACAACCTAGAGTGGGGATCTAACAAGGCAGCAACCTTGTTGGAGGCAGAGATGTTGATTGAGTTGCAGCAAATGTTATGGTTATTACATGATCTAAATGGTCTAAACGTAATGTACAAGTCTCTCGTTTGAACATATTTCCACATGATTTTGTCCAATATACTGCTTTACATTGTTACATACATGTAAAGTAGGACTTTACAAAGCATGGAAGCACAAGCAGCATCAGACTGCCTTATGCATACACCTGCTCTGACCTGTAAGCCTTTTCAACATGAGTACTGTAATTCCACTTTTAGATCTACAGTACATTAAAAATGTACTCCCTGACAAAAAAAGAAGATGCATTTTGGGGCAAAGGTTGAATGATTTAGGACCGAAGTGTCAGTAAATATGAATGTGAGTGGGAGTGTGGCAGGACCTTTTGGTGACCTTGTATTGCCCTGAGCAGCGAGCTCAGGCAATATAGTACTTTTTAAATCATTCAAAGTGCAACTTTAAGATTAAATTAGCTATTTTTACCCCTTCACTAACTCAATGTATCTCTATGGATAAAGATTTGCTTTTGTTTGCATAAAACTCTAAAAATTGAAATGGAGGTTTAGCTACAGACACTTTGTGAATGACTTTGAACTGTGCCAGCAGTACAGCAGGCTGTGAAAAAATAAGAGATTTCTTGAAATGCACAACAGGATAATTGATGCCAGGTCACAAAGTGAACAAGTTTCCTTTTGGAAATATATGTTTAAAAATGCTAGTGGGAGACTCACTGGATCTGCCCTCTATAGGTAAAGTTCAAAATGAAAGTATAACAGCAAAGATAACTATAGATGAAATCCATAAGGCAATCGGAAAACTGAAAACAAACAAAGCTCCAGGTAGTGACGGATTCCCATCTGAGTGGTACAAAAAACTAGAAAAATAACTGTCTTCACTGCTACTAGGTGCCTTTAATTGGATCATGTCAAAAGAGGATACTCTCCCCTCATGGAAAGAAGCAATTATTACAGTTATCCCCAAACCACTAAAAGATAAAGAATTTTGCCAAAATTATAGACCAATCTCAATTCTTAATGTTGATTACAAGCTCTACACTACGATACTATCAAACAGGCTACAAACAATAGTACCAGACCTCATAGATGAGGATCAAACAGGCTTTGTTTCAGGTAGACAGACGCATGATAATATCAGAAGACATCATACATAGAATACAAAAAAATAAAATACCAGCAGCACTGATTAGTCTCGATGCGGAAAAAGCATTTGACAGGGTCAATTGGGAATTTTTATATCTAACATTAGAGAAATTTGGATTCAGTAATAAAACAATTAAATGCATTAAGTCTATTTATAACAAACCAACAGCTCGAGTTAAAGTTAATGGCTCACTAACAGACAGATTTACATTGGAAAGAGGAACTAGACAGGGCTGCTGTCTCAGCCCTACCCTGTTTGCTCTATAGAACCATTAGCCCAAATGATCAGACAGGAAAGTGCTATTGCAGGAATATAAATTAGTCAACAAAAACATGTTATTAGCCTTTTCGCAGACGACGTCATGATCATGCTGAAAGATCCAGTAAGCTCCTTTATAAAGCTAATGCAAATTATGGAACAATTTGGTGAATATTCAGGATACAAATTAAACATATCTAAAACTCAAATCCTTATGTTTAACTGCGCTCCAAATCAACAACTAAAAGAATTAAATTTAAACTGGGAAGCAAAATCAATTAAATACTTAGGAATAAACATAACCAAAAATGTAGCAAAGCTGTACCAAAGCAACTATGAATGTATTGACAAAGATATAAGGAAAGATTTCGAAAAATGGTCAACTTACCCGATGAGTTTTATTGACAGGATAAATACAGTGAAAATGAATATTCTACCACGCTTGTTGTATTTATTTCAATCCTTGCCGATAAATATACCGCAGATTCAGTTCCAAAGCTGGGATAAGCTTATATCAAGATTCATATGGGGGGGTAAAAGACCTAGGATAAGATATACCACACTGCAATTGCCTAAAGAAAGAGGGGGACTGGCACTTCCAAACTTAAAGGAATATTATCATGCAGCACAACTACGTCCTCTTATTTACTGGTGCAACTCCGATTATATAGCCCGCTGGAAAGACATCGAAATACTTACATATGAGTCCCCAATTCAACCACTCATAGGGCAAAGAAAAATACCTCCCCATATTAAAGAAAAGGGAGACCTAGACCCAATAACAACATTTACACTAGAAAAATGGTATTCTATTATTAAACAATTGAAATTGGGAAGGGAACTTGGACTATTAAACTGGATAGCCTATGACAAAGGATTCAAACCAGGAAGCTATGACTGTAGATTCAAGCAATGGACAGAACAGGGTTTAACAGCCATATGCACGGTTATCCAGAAGGGAGAAATGAGAAGCTTTCAAGACCTGAAAAACCTCTTTGACCTAGAGAACAAAGACTTATTCAGATATATGCAAATGAGGGACTACTATACAAAAAAGGTTAAGAAAAATGAAGATGACATACAACCTATTGTAAAGATTATTGCACGAGCTTACCATGATGATGTTCGCAAAGTTGTGTCAACCCTGTATTCGTGCTTGATGGAAGCCAAAAAAGATTCAACACTCTATGTAAAAACTAAATGGGAAAAAGAACTAAACGAAAGGATCTCAGATGAGATGTGGTATGATATGTGGAAAATGCACCAGACCACTACACAGTCACACGGATGGAGAGAATTTCTGTGGAAAAACCAAATTCGTTTCTTTTACACACCCAAAATCACTAGTAAACAAACAAACACTCAACAATCATGCTGGAGACTTTGTAAACATCAGGACCCTCACCATACACATGTGTTTTGGAGCTGCAGTAAAATGCAACCTTTCTGGGACTGTGTACACTCTGTTATATGCAAGGTATTAGGCTATAGAATCCCTCGAACATGTGTGGTATTATACCTGGGACATATGGAAGGATCTGTACATGTCGGAGATCAATACCTGATCAAGATCCTCCAAGCTGCTGGAAAGAAGGCTATCACTAAAAACTGTCTAAAGGCGGAAACACCAAGCTACAGACAATGGGTTAATATTATTGGTGATATCCTAATAATGGAGAAAATCACATACAAGTTGAAAGTAATGGAAGACAAATTTCTTAAGGGCTGGGAAAAATGGTTAAGGTACATAACAAAAGAGTCATACAAAAACAAGTAATATTTGATAACTATGTAGATCGTCTCCGTACAGGCACTGTTCTCTCTGAAATGTAATATTTGTTGTGTGTAATTGTACCTTGTGAACAAATCAATAAAAGAAAGTTTAAAAAAAAAAAAAAAAAAAAAAAAAAATGCTAGTGGGATAATGCAGAGTATGGGCAGTAGAAATCACGAGTTGCCTGAGAGTGAATCAAAGATAAAGACAAAGGAAGAAGAAAAGCGTAATGTGCAGAGTGATACAATATTCTGCTAAGTACAAGTTAGCAGAAACTACATTGTCACATGTTGGGTGAGCAGCATCTCATTGAGCCAGTTTAGCACCTTCAGTTCAGGATGTGGAAGTTAAAGGAATAATTCACCTTCAGAATGATCATATCAATCACTCACCCAGTGTTACCGTGAAATCTTGAAGAAAATGTTGATTTTCTTGCATGCAAGTAGACAGGAAAAAGTACGAGTTTAACAACAACAATGTTGTGTCTCGTCAAATGTGTTAGTTATGTTTATATATTATGTCTGTCATTTTCATGTTTTTTCACATCTAGTCATGTCTGTTTATTTAGATCCTTCATCTCTAGTCAGTCCCCGTGTTTCATGTCGTGTCTCGTTTTCCATTTCCTGTTTTATTTTGTACTTACCTCTTGTCTTTCATTTCAGGTCCTGTTCCTTCCTCCCCTTGTGTGTTTTTCCCGCCATCATCAGTGTCTGCCCCGCCCCTGATTGTTTCCACCCACCTCATGTTTAAATAGTCCTGTCTCTCCCCTGTCCTGTGTCAGTTCGTCTTGTTTGTTTCCCTGAATGGTCATGCCAAGCCTCCGCTCAGAAAGGATCGCTCTCACTCATGTCAGGTGTTGTTGTTAATTTTGTAGGCTTACGTTTTTCTTAAGTTCTCTTTTTGTTATACTTAGTTTTTTCCTCCTTGTGAGCGCTTTTTGATATTTCCAGTACCTACTCTGTTAAGAGGGATTACCTGATCTTTGGAATTAAAAATACATTTTGTTACATTCGAGACTTTGTCTCTGGGTAGTGCATTTGGGTTCATCAGTTTGTGTCGAGGTCCCGACAAAAACTTCTGCTGTCGTATGCTTACTAACGTATATTTTCTACTATAATGCTGGTTTATTTCTATTTCTACTTTGAGATGTTTATATTTTAGAATTGTTTATTTCTACTCTTTTAATTTCTAATTATTTTGGGAAAACATTTCCCAATTTGGGATCAATCAAGTACATCTTATCTTAATTAATCAAGGCTTTACTTTGTTTAAGATTTAATTTTTTTTAAATTTAAGATTATAATAACGTTTTTCTTCAAGAAATCGAGGTAACACTGGGTGAGTAATTGATGTAACATGTTACGTTTGTGGGTGTGGGTATTTCTTTAAGGCATCCATGTGTTGCTGGTGTTTACCTGCAGGCCCAGTGGTTTCCAGCGCACGTTCCTGAGCAGAGCCGGCGTGGAGCTCAGGGTGTTCTGGGGCCTTTTCTTCAGCGTTAGAATGACTCCACACGGGTCTTCTCTCAGAGCGTTGACCAGGTTCTTCAGCTGCCAGCCCACCTGAGGAGCACACACACCGGGCTACCGAACTGCTGCAAACCACCACACACACACACGATGCACTGGGAGCAGCCAAATCTCCTGAGGAAAACCACCGGGGATGTTGTACTATTTACAACAGCTGAGTATAATGACAGAATAAACCATGTATACTGTCTGTCATTTATGTTTTCAGGCCTTTGAAATCCTGTGAATGTCTAGGAAAACAAATAACTGCTATGTGACCGCTACTAAACTACCTAACATGTTTTCATAGATCCTGAACATTTCCTTTTTTCTGCTAAAAAAGGGACACAAGCGTATATATATATATTTCTCCAAAATAGCTGCATAAAATATTAAAATGAGCCTATAAAATGTTTTTGTTCTATGTTATTCTCTACAAATAGAGGGGATAGAAGTTACATTCATCTACATTTGCGTGTGTATGTTTTCTGTACACCTAATCTACTTTACCCCGTAACCTTTATCAATACAATATAAATAAAACAACGATGGCTGCCATCATAACATTTGCATAGCTGGTTATCTTCTTGTGTTTTTTCTCTTAAAACGTATTCATTTTCCCCATGTATTGGGACCGATTGGGACTCAGTTTCCGTGCGGAGGACCCAAGTTCAATCCGGCCTGGAACCATTTACACGTCATCCCCCTTTCAACACTGTCACTCTTCAATAAAGGCTAATCTTGCCCAACATTTGTTTTGTATTATAACAACAGCATAAACAGAACACACAAAGACAGAGAAGAAATACACTGGATCCATGGATCAAGGCAGAAATATATATCGCATCATGTATTATGACGTAGATTTGTATCCCCATGGAGATTTAAAATCTTGTAAACTTCAATAATCTAACAGGCTTAGTGGCTTGAGAGGGAAATATATACATTCTCTGAGTGCTATGGTTAACGTCATATCTAGTACATTTTGTAGCTATCAGTATCACTGATCTGAAAACATATTAAAACAAAGAGTCAGTATGTTTTAGTTTTACGGAAGAGAGAGAGAGAGATGGTGAAAGAGTGAGAAATAACTGCTGACTGCAGTGTTTCTTTGTGGTTACGGCTGGCTTGTCTCCGGAGCTCGAAACACTCGTCAGGCCATTGATTGGCTACACTGGACTCGCTAATGGAAGTGTCCACAGAGGCCACTGCGCTCACACACACTTACCCAGACACACACACAGACAGAACTGCTGTGACCTTATTCCTGACATAATGATGACCAGCCTGTGTCAGCCTTTAGCAACCCGTTTCCTGTTCTCTTTGGCCCAGTTCAGAACACCGAGTTCAGCCAGCGTTCACCAGCAGCAAGTGATACAATATAAGTCATTTACTACTCTATGTTTTGTCCTGTTCTGCACACTAGAGACAATGGGGTATACCAGGACACCCAGGACACAATAGGTTGTATTTTTTATTTGCAAGTGACAGAAAAAAGGGCTAGCTATCAAACGGAACATACTGGAAGAAAAGGGACCGTGTGTCAGTCACAAGATCTTTCTTTATATATTTTTGTTAAATATTCTTGATAAGCACTTGATTACCCGTTTTAGACAACGTTTTTGAGCAGCAGCTCGTCTTGTATTTATCTTTTAATATGAAGCTACAGCTCGGCGATGCTTAGCATAGCCAAATAACATAGTTAAACAAAAAGAACTTCTAGCACCTGTAAAGCTCACAAGTGAACATGTTATGTCTTGTTTGTTTAGGGTACCTGTGCCCCACTGCGTCCATTCCCTATGCTAAGCTAAGCATTGAGGAAAACATTGATATTCTCTTTCTTTCAAAAAGTAGGACAAGAAGATGTATACCACATTCTCATATGTCTGGCCATTATGTAGCTACAATGAGGGTTAGGTAAGCTTAGCATTGAGACTAGGAGGAGGGTGACAGATCTAGCTTAACAAACAAGATAAAGAGTAGTTATTGTAAGAGGTGCTAGTATTTAGTTTATTTTTTTTACCTATGGACAGACAGAGGCTACTTGTTCACCTCTGCTTTCAGTTATTATGATACGCTAATCTAACGGTTGTCTTACTGTTGTTTCATATTCAGTGAAGACATGAGAACTTGGTCACAATATTTCAAAATGTCATACTATTCCTTTAACAAAAGAAGCAATGTTTTTTAAACTGTTAAGCTTGCATGGATAAGGTGTTGTCCCAGAACTGTAGCTTTCGTACAATTCCAAACAAAGTCTTGAAGTTTAGCTGAACTGGACCTCGGTGTGGTGTCTAGACCTTTATGTTAAGTTAATTCATTTAGTTCAATCCTTTGTCTTTTGCCTTGTCTTGTGACTTCCTGTTTTATTTTGTAGTAACCTTTCCCTCTCGTTTCAGAGCCCTTCCTGCCCTTGTGTGTTTTTCCTCCAGTGTGATTGTCAGCTCCTCCCTTAATTGTTGCCACCTGTGTCCCCTTACCTTGTGTGTATATAGTCTGCGGCTCCCCTTGTCCTGTGCCAGTTCGTCTTGTCTCACCAAGTCTGCCAGTCATCCCTTGACCTTGCTAAGTATATTTTTGATAGTGTTACGTTTTTGATAATCCAAGTAGATGTTTTGTTTAGCATTTTTGATCTTATAGTTTCTCAGTTTTGATCCCCCTAGTGAGCGTTTTGTGTTTTTGCCCTTTTATTAAATACTTTGTTAATCCTGACCTGCTTCTGGTGTCGTGCGTTTGGGTCCTGAGCCTTGTGACATTCATAACACTCGGTCATGCTAACCTTCTAATCCCTTGTTAGCTCCACCACAATGTTGGCCAGCGAACTGTGTATGCTAACAGCAAACACAAAGCCTATCCTAACCAGACCGGTTTAGAACAGTTCTTTAATCCAAATACAGCGAGCAAAGGGAAAAGGGAAGACAGGGAGAGACCAACCAAAAATAATAATAGAGCATAAACTGCTGCTGGAGAGGTTTTTCAAATCTCCAGGGTCTTCATTATTTTCCCAGATGCTATTACCTCCACATAATTATGTTGCCTCTTCAAACAGTCAGTTTGTTATTTGAGCAAAATCTACATTTTACCTCAAAAGAAAAAAGCTGAGCTAAAAACTGCAAGTCCTGTTTTGAAGTGGGTCTCAAACAGAAGCTCATGCATAGACATGAAGGCAGTGCTGTTGCTAAATACGTGGGCTAGGGCTACATAATGTGTCTATGATGTAATGGAATTTGTTCATTCAATCTTCACACTAATCTCATTTTTAAATATGGAGTCTTGCTAGATAAACTTATCACCCATGATGATGATGGTGGGTTTGCTGGTAGTGTGTATTAGCAGCTTGATTTAGGACTGCATTTTTTGTATTATGATAAGAGATTTCCTTCTTCTGTTTTTCCTCCCACTCTCCCAGCTCTGCCCCCTCCCAGCATCCCCTCATTTCCCTTTCTCCATTGCACACACACCTCTGTCTCCCCCTGCGTATCTCCTCCCCCAGAGTGAGGGATCAGAGGGGTGAGGGTCTAGCTGAGGGAGTAATGAAGGGTTGGAGCTGAGAGCCTAGCAGCGTGCGATCTGCACTGTCCCCTCGATGAGAGAGAGGGAGATAACACGTGCCTCCCTCACGCGTCAATCAACAGCACTCCATGCGTTCAAACGAGCAGTACCTATCGAGACGTACCAGGAAATACTAATGGGAAAGCACACACAAGACACACAAGACACCAACTTTTCTTTTCTTTTTCCTCCCATCCCTCAGATATCTCAAATAAATGCTGGAACGAATCGTTTGTGCCAGAGCTGACAGCACAGGCAATCAACTGAGCCCTCAATCACATGCTCTCACAAGGCCTCGTTTCCATTTAAAATGGCTGCCCATTTTCGTGCTTCCCTCTGATGTGATGAGTTGAAGGAAGAAAATACGAGTTATTCAAGTCTGAAAGTGGAACACATTTCAACCAGCCCCCTCCTTCAGGGGTTTCTAACGACAATGGGAACAAATTCTGGAAAAGAGTGAGCTGACAATCACACTGGACCGAACAAAGGTAATAATCGTCATATAATCTGCTCCAGCGGCAAGTCTAATTAGCCTACATAGCTGCACAGGACAGGAAGCACCATGACGGCAGGTGGTGGTAGTAGACATCATGTACATCTCCTTATCATAGCACAGGATGAAGAACGGAAGACAGAAATACATGAAAACTACATTTCCTTTGACTCTTTGGGACTACATTGTTTTTACTCACCACTGTCTGGTGATTGACTTGGATCACTTCGTCCCCTGCGTGGATCTTCTTACACAGGTCTGCCGGAGACTGCAGAGGCAGAAGTAATTGGAGGACAGAGAAGGACAACAGAAGTAAATGTAGGATATATTAAGGCTCAGATTCAATGTCATTGTGGAATTAGAGACCATGAGTTGTAGTCTGCGGAGTGTCAAGATTCCTACAGGGTGAAACAAAAACTCACATTCTCTGTGGTTCCTGTGATAACGTGGAGACCATCATACGTCGATTTGATGTACATCCCCTGAAACACAAGCATAGGCAGGCAGGATTCAGTATAATATAGTACTATTGAGTAATAGAATACACAGGAAAAAACGTTTGTATCTGTCAATCTTTGTCTTGACCTGACTTACGGATGTGGGACAAATTAAAGACGTAACTATCAACTATATAAGTGAAGTGTTGGTTGACCAAGACCCTCCAAAGCAAACTTAGTGACCCTTATTATAGATTACCCAATATTTTAACTCTAATAGGACTGTTTTTTATAAAAACTAGACTCTTTATTAGGTTAAGGTTATGTTTCAACATCAATGTTCTACACACATTCAATGACCCCTTGAGCTCTGTCTGAAACAGTATGCTTTTTTTTTTAGTTCTCGTATTTTTTCCCCAAAAATACTTAAAATTGTATCCCCAAAGATCTGACTTAAGACATAAAAGCAAAACCTTCACATTGTGACCTGGTGAAGTCCTGTAACAATAAATAATAAATAAGAGTGCAAAAGCCAGGCATTGCATATTTACACACCTTGAATATTTAATATTATTTTCAAAGGCATTGTAGAGACTTGGATTCAGTCATGTAAGAACATTATTAACAGCTTCAAAGGGAGATGCTGTTTAAATGCTGTGTGAAAAACAGTCTAAATAAAACATAGGCTTAGGTTTTGGTGGAGACGCAGGGGACATGTCCCCCTAATATTTAGAACACATGCGTTTCTGCACCATTGACGTCATTGCAGTCAGTCCCGCTTAGGATTCCCTCAAGTTCAGGGTGTTTTTTTTTTACAGAAAGAGGAATTATCCGTAGAGTTCCCTTCATCTCCACAACAAACTTACCAAGTGAGTAAGAATGGCAAAAATAATAACTTAAGATCCAGATGTCTGATGAAAATATCCTTCATCTGGTTTAAAATAGAGGTATAACCACCAATATTCATAAGGTTTCTCCTTAAAAAAGGGCTTAAAACTAATTATGACAGATTCTGGCCAATGAACACAAGGCTGATGAATGACCCAAGGGGATACTGTACATCTGCACATCTGTACTACAGGTGACCCATATTGGTTTTACAAAGTTCTCTTGGTTTGAATATTGTTACAAACATTTGAGATTGTCTAGGTTGTTTTTGAGACATTTTAATGTGGAAATGTTACTATACCTTCAATACTATATGTCCAAACCAATGTTCGAAACAAAATTCTGCTAAAACGCTCAGTAGAGCTGAGCTGAACATTGATATTGATCTGCGTGCATGCTCAGGTGGGTGCTCACCAGGCCTTCACTTGGCATGATGCTGGTGAGGTGGACCACTTCCAGATGGGCAGACTGAGAGACCAGAGAGTCTGACGACAGAGAGATGATGTGGTCGCATATCCCCGCTAAGGTCTTACACTGGAGAGGATAAAAGACAGGAAGAGAGGTAGGAAAAGAAAAGGGACAAAAAGAGAAAGTTATTGAGATTGGTTTTGGTCCGTGAGGGATGCCGTGACCTAGCTTGAGGAGGTGAAACAGAAATCATTTCATCAGATTGTTCCACATCGCCACTTTCATCACTCCGGCACACAAACTGTTTCCTGTCAGTTTGTCCACAGGCAAGCCCACAAGACGCTGTCACAGACTGAACAACACATCACGGATACCAGCCGGCCCCGAGGTGCCCGCATGACATTTACTAACATCTAAATTACAGAGCACACATTTTATTTGTTCGGATGATAGGGCTGTTTCAGGAACCAAACAAAATCTTGAAAAAGTGGTTAGATTACCTCTACATTATTCCTTACACTCACATTCCTATTATGTAGTGCATCTGAGAAAATGCACCAAATGAAAAGGCTTCACCTTGCCTTTGTTCAAAATAAACGTTGATGATTTTTCAGGCTATTTGTCTGTTTGGTAACGCATGCTAAGTACATTTATCATCAGCAACATCTCTGCCTTCTAATCGTGGCTGACTGACTAAAGGGGGCGCACAGCAGAGCACGTTACCCTGGGTTTCCTGCACACACACATGCACACAAACACACTGACACACACACAGAAACGTAACTGTCATACATAAGAGAATATGCCATCTGTATTCACACAAGCAGCATGACAGTGATGAACCCTGCATAAAATAATCTTCCGATCTCAATCATAATGAGCAATTGCGGGATTATAGTTATGAAATGAACACACACACACACACACACGCGCGCGCACACACATGGACACACTTTATAGCTCAGAGCCTGTAATTCATTCAGTATGAGAGAAAAGGTGGTGGATCTTCTGCGAGCTGGCTATGTGATGCGCTCTCACACATACAGACGAAAACACACACAATTCCATCCTTTTCTGGGTCAGTTATTTGAAAAACACACTTTAGTTTCTGTGTATACAGGCAGCAATATTATGTTCTTGTCAAAGTATGCACACATTACGTAATGGGATACCCAGGACTTTTTATGTCATCATCAGATACCAGTGAGATTTCATTTAAAAAATCAAAGGGGGAATGAAGGGCTGGGAGATAATTCAAAATGGTAATTTGTCGCATTTCAATATTACGACATAGAAAGATTACATTGTTTCAATTGATAACTAGCCTGTGTTGGGAGTAACGCGTTACAAAATAACGTGTTACAGTAATCAGATTACATTTGTCTGTAACGCAGTAGTATAACGCGTTACTGTTGGTTCAGCAGTAATTACATTACAGTTACTACGCACAAAATGATCACGTTACTTGCGTTAACGATTTTGAATTGTCCATTTCGAATTGTCCATTTCGAATTGGTCCTCAGCAAATTCAAAAAGTATGCTTTTCTTATATTGTACTTCTTAAACATATATGTAAACAGATATTACAAAGAAGTATTCATGTGTTAATGAGCCCACTTTTCAAATAAACCAATTAAAGTTGATAACATTTTCTAACAAATCTTATTTGCATAACAAGCTTGAAATACACCCTTCATATTTCCCCTTATTATAATCAATCTGAGGCTTCTGTTTTAAGGAATAAGCTGCCAATACTGGCTGGTTTGTTTTCTTAAAGCATATTCAAGTATCAAGCATAATTTACTTTGTATTTGAATTGATTTTGCTAACTTACAAATTAATTTACAAGGCAGTATACCTCACATATATTGAGGGGCCAGCCTTTCATAATGTTTTTTCTGTATGTGGCCCTCAGTGTAAACAGTTTGGACACCCCTGATATAGACCATTCATTTATTACCAGAAAACATGCTTTATATTTAGTATATTGTTGAACCCTTGGGAAATAGATAAATAAGACTTAGGAATAAGTAGGGGGAAGGCAGAAGCAGAGTATATCTAATCCTGCCTATCCTACCTGTGACAATCTTGCTGCTTTGCTGGTATCCCTCTTTGATCATCGGACTAATAGTCTTGACCCGGGGTTAAGACGGGCCAGAGAGACAAAAGGCCAGTTAGCAGTGTGGAGACTTTGGACTGGTCCAGCTCTGACACACCCCGCCTTGATGTGACACGCCTCCGGAGAATCACAGCGCAGATTATAGGGAAGTTAATTTATGTGGTTGGCTGGCGTGAGATTTAAGAGCAGTCAAACCGAAAGCCAGACATAGTGCGCTGCCAAAAGGATTAAGCTCTGGCTACACACTGCACCCCCCCCTCTTCCTCACCAACCACCACCTCAACCTCCCTCTTTCTCTCCCGTGCTTTCTTCCTCCTCACCTCACACCTTCTATAGCACACACACTAAGCTCGGTTTTCATCTACTCCACATCCAGGAGCATATACGGGAAGATGGAGAAAGGGAGGAGGAGACGGGGCAAACGGAGAGGGGAGATGGAGGAAAACAGAGGAGAAAAGAGGTGATGAGGGAGGAAAGGGGAGAAAACAAGGGAAATGTGAAGAAGCACACACAACTAGGACAGTCTTATGTAATTTCTCTCATCCTTATGCATGCATGCACATACAAACACACACAGTGATACACACTTCACGCTCCATCAGACAGACTCGCACATGCTCATATCTTACACACACACACACACACACACACACACACACACACACACACACACACACACCACACACACACACACAACACCACACACACAACACACACACACACACACACACACACACACACACACACACACACACACACACACACACACACACACATCACACACACACACACACACACACACACACACCACACACAACACACACATCACACACACACACACACACACACACACACACACACACACACACACACACACACACACACACACACACACACACACACCACACACACACACCACACACACACACACAATCCCAGTCCATCTGATTGCTGCGGGCCGTAGTCTGAAGGAGAGCACAGTAGCAGTGAGTTTTGCATTATTGACAAACGTACAACTAGCACTACAGTAACTACAGCAGAGCTGACCAGAGCGCTAAAACAAGCAGAGCCCCATGCTGGATGCACACTTGAGACCCCTTTACGGTATGTCTGTCTGCATCAACATCCACATGACTCTTAAAGGGACAATTCACCCCAAAGTAAAAGAACAACAGCATTTTGCTCTTATCTGCAGTTCTATTTATTAATCTAGATTGTATTGGTGGGAGTTGTTGGAGATATCAAGATATCTGCCTTCTTTCTGATATAATGGAACTATAACTTGGCCTGTCGGGCTTGTGTCTTTCCATAAATCAGTACCTGGTTACAGTTTTTTCTCAATCGCTAAACCCACTATTTAGAATCAAAATTCTTTTTCATCAAACCAACAGCACAGCCATCGAAACAGAAAACCATTTCTCTACAAGAGTATACCATTTATCATTGATATCACACAAAATGCAGATGCTAAGCAGTGTTTTGCAAAACAGATCACACAATTCTCTAACTGAAATTACAATTTTCTACACAAACATCAAAAATCTTTTGTGTAACTCATGTCTACAAAACAAAATAATCTTCTCACAGTGGATAACACTTACTCCTCATAAACTTAGACCATAGCTACACTAATTGACACTTGATATGCAAAATATTAACACTTGTTATCAGTCAATCACCCCATTGAAAAAGGTAACTGCATGGAATGTACTGTATACCTTACAGTAATGATGTTACTGTTAGCTGATATCAATGACTTTCCTATAGTAATTGTAATTAGTGAGAATCCTATAAAAGACCTCCCTCACTTCAGTAAGATGTTTGTGTGAACAAAATGGCTGATCGAGTAGGTAGAGGAGCTCTGAGAGGAAGAAGGAACCCTGTTGTTCAGCGAGGAAGAGGGAGGGCTGATGTTCAGAGAGGAAGAGGGAACCCTGTTGTTCAGAGAGGAAGAGGGAACCCTGTTGTTCAGAGAGGAGGAGGGAACCCTGATGTTCACAGAGGAAGAGGGAGGGCTGTACGTATGCGTGGTGGAAGAGTTGAAAGGGGACCAATGCGAACAGTAGTTTCGGACAACACCTGTGCAACTATTGTGGACCACGTCATAAACCATGGCATGTCCCTCAGTGAGGCTGGCCAAAGGGTTCAGCCCAATATACGGAGATCAACAGTGGCATCCATTATTAGGATCTTCAGGCACGAAAATAGGTAAGCTACTGTAACCCTTTTTTACAGCACTTCATGCATTTCTATTTTTATGTAGGTTTCGATCACTGTTTTTATATTACAGTACATAACATTCTCAAATATTTATTGATAGAACTGAAAGAGCACCCCGCTCTGGTGGCAGAGGAAAGGCCTTTACTCCAGAACAAGAGTCTGCCATTGTTGATATGGTTGTGGCCAACAATGAAATCCGTTTAAGGGAGATTCAGGCCAGAATAATTGCAGACCAGGATGTCTTCAGTAACATTCCATCTATAAGTGTTGCAACCATTGACCGGGTGTTAAAGAGGCACCACCTCAGAATGAAACAGATCTATAAGGTTCCTGTTGAACGCAACTCTGACCGTGTGAAGGAGTTAAGGCACCGGTATGTACAGGTAAGGACCTCAATCACAGTGATGGCTTGCCTATATTTTTAGTATGTCGGACTGCTTACAGTAATGTAAAACGGTCCTCTGTTTGTTTCATTTTCTTTAGCGAATGATGGAGTTGGAAGGCAATGCATTACCACATGTTTTTGTATATGTGGATGAAGCAGGCTTCAACCTCTCCAAAGTGAGGAGACGTGGGAGGAACCTTATTGGGCAAAGAGCAACAGTCTTTGTTCCAGGCCAAAGGGGAGGAAACATAACAATGTGTGCGGCTATCTCGACACATGGCATCCTTGCTCACATCCCTGTAATGGGAGCATATAACACGCAACGTGTCCTTGCCTTCCTGGATGTCCTGTATGACCGACTTGTGCCACCAGAAGAGAGGGATCAAGTGAGGTCGGTTCACA